CTGTTTGGTCTAGTACCCAGTTCTTTGGTAATAGATTGTAGTATTGTTTATGACCCCCCAGGCAATCTAGAGATTGAAATAGGGTAAACCAGTTTATAGGAACAGCTATGTCACCTTGGCTAAAGTTGTAAAATCAGAAACAACAACAGCATAAAATACAAACTGGATAATGACAGATTGTAACAACTATCACTGTATCACCTTTAACCATAGTAACATGATCTATAGTTATAGTACAAACCCTGAGACAAATTAGATAATTGATATACAGTAAATATCTACTCAATAGAGCTATTTTATCTCTGTTAACTACAGAACCGTGTTTAAACTGTAGTAAGATTTAACTATCTGCAGATTCATAAGTATATACTACTGTTATAATGTTAGAGATTGCAAGGAATGGAAACAAGAAAAAAATAGAATTTGAATAAATTTAGATATGGAAGATGGGAAGAGAGTGATAAAATTGATATAAAAGATAGTGAAAGAAAGTTAATAGTGTTAGATAACAGTAACAGAGAAAATCAACCAGGAAAAGGATAAATAATAAGGAATAGAGATTAAACTAGAGGAAAAAAAAAGATATAGTTCATTTCCCGAACTTAATTCTTTCCACAACTCTGGTCACAAATCAAATTGGACAAGAACTGAATCACATTGAATAGTTAGGTTCGGTGTTAACCTTATGGGGCAATTTGATATGGTTCTCATCCAATTCAGTTACTACTAGAATCATAGACAGAATTAAGTTCGTGAACTGAGGTACCACTGTAAAATAATAAGGCAACAGTTGAAAGAGAGATAGCAAGAAAAGAAGAGAGAGGAGAGAGAGGAGGGGACCCTTATCAAACAGATAAAACAAAGTAACATAAAAAGGGGGAATAAGGGGCCAGGGATTTAGCTCAGTGGGACCATGCCTGCCTTGCAAGTGCAAGGTCCTGTGTTCGAACCCTAGTACTGTAAAAAAAAAAAAAAAAAAAGCAGGGAGGAGGTAAGAAAATAAGAAAACGGGTGATAGAACTCCAGACTCTACCAAAAATTATAAAATTTTTTTAAATTACCAACAGAGGCAAAAGCACTGGGTATGAGATAGGGCTAGGTAAGATACAGAAGAGTCAAAGGAATAATATGGGGAGGATAGTGGTATTACCAGGTAGTTTTCTTCTAAAAGTAGCTTGCGAAACACCCTCTCCAAAATTTGGTGTCCAGATGCTGGAATATAGCAATGTGAGGAAGAGAAGAAGGAGGGAAATGGGTCCCTGGGACCCAGCAAGGATCTAAAGCAAGAATTGAAGCCCACAGCAAGATCAAGGGGGGAAACTTCAGCAAAGAAGAAAGAGGTGACAAATGCCACTTTCTCCCTGAGCCTTGACTCACTATATGAGAAGGGTGGCTCAAACGTATAGATGTACAGTGACTACTCGTGACCCCAGAGGCCTCCACGGAGAAATGCACTGGTGGAATACAGCAGTGAATACAGTGGCTGGTGAGTTTTTTTGGTTCAGATGTCCCTCAGGAGAGGACACTTGGCCAGGAGCCATCTTGGAGAGGGGCCAACTGAGCTTGGAACTCAGAGCAGCTGTTGGCTGGCTCCATCAGGGTGAGGCAGAACTGAGTGCAAGTTGGCAGGAGGTCAAGGAGCCAAGCTCAAGCTGGCTGGAGCCAAGTTCAAGTCAGCAGGAGATACACGGAGTGTTGCAGGCTGAACAAATTGGATTCCAGCCTCAGCCAGAAACCAGCCTGAGCTTCAGAACTAAAGGTGCAGGCTTGGTGGGATTATCCACCACCCTGCTGTAAATATATAGCTGAGTTGTTGGGATTAATCAACATGGATCTAGGCTCTGTGTGGCCAATTTGTCTACCAGTGACAGCAGAGATACGTCTTAAAGTGGACATTTTTCTGTAATCTTTTTTTTCCTTTTCTTCTTGTGTTATTTTCTTTTTTCTTGATTTTTGTTCTTGTTTTTATAAAAATGTGAATGTTTCTAGTTTTGTTGTTGTTGTTTTTCAGTTCTGATACTACTTTTATTTCTTCGTTCTCTCTTTCTCTCCCATCTTCTTCACCAGTTACCCAAAGTTTGCATAATTTTGCTTTTTCTTCCAGCCTTGCGTCTAAATTCTTCTTCTTCTATTTCTCTATTTTTTTCCCATCCCCTTTTAAATTTTCTGCCTTGGGTAAAATTGCCATGCTGAGGGCATATTTACTATATACAGTTTTCTGGTTTGTTTTAGATTTTGTTATGTAACTGCAAATTACTTCATACAGTTAAAAATAGAAAATCACTAGGTACCACATTTGTTATTTTCTAGGCTGTTTGATGGTATTGTTATTGCTGATTGTACCACTTTAGCCAAGGTGACATGATTGTTCTAATCAGTTGTTCTTCCTGGTACGCCAAGAATGAGATTGCCTAAGTGTTATAAACAATACTGTAGTATCCAGGGCTGCCTGACCTCCTGACTGATGGTTAAAGAATAATATGAGAGAAAAATGTTTGCATAAATGGGGGCTGGGACTTGATCTTAGCTCTCCCAAGGCTAAAACCATGAGGTCTGGACTTGTCAGTATTTATTGATTACACAACATTGCAGGGAGTGTAAAGGCAGACATAGGGAACAACGGGACTGAGGCACTGATGTGAGCCAGGCTTGCAAAAGGGAGGAATGATGCATTCCTGCAAAGGGCTAACATTTGATCTGAGAGAATGGCTGTGCAAGAGTCATAAATCCTCAGCTATAGTGTCCTCTTGCTATCAGAGACACCACTGAGTATTGGAATCTCAACCGTGGCCGTTGGCATAGGGCGTTTTGTTTCCACATGCCAGTGGAAGCCTTGTCTAAAATGAATTAAATTTTTTATGAATTAAATTTTAAGCCAATTCAGTAATATTTTCTAGCCTGCCCAGTGTGGTTTCAAGCTTGTCTCCTGCACTATAGGCCAGTGCCAAAGAACCAAGGGCTAGGCCAAGTAGGCAGCAACTTTTCATCCCCAATAAATTGAAGAGGCAAGATCTTGCAACAGACTCAAAAACCCAAATGCCAGCTACACCTGGAAGACACCTCTGAGAAGCAGTCATTTCCTAAGGGTTCTAAATAGTAACAATAAAGCTACTTGCCATATGTAATTTACAAGCATCAACCCAGGATTAAATTTTAAAAAAAAATAGAAAATGAGAAGATACTTAAGCAAGATACAACCCCAAACTTCCAGCTTACCAAACGCAAACCCTGGGAGCAATGAGGTGGAACAATTTGAAACCTACCGACCCGGACTCTTTGAAGTGGTAACAGCAAAAGTAGCAAAGCAGATGAATGAGGCTCTAGAAAATATCAAATCAGAAATCATTTCTCAGATAACTAAAGAGATGATGACCATAATGAAAGACATGATTAATGACTCTAGAGCAGGTCAAAAATACATCCAAGGACCAATGGAACAGATTAGAAGATGCATAAACAACTCCAAACATACTTAGCCATCTTATCTTTGACAAAAGAACCAAACACCTTCACTGGAAGAAAGATAGCCTCTTTAATAAATGGTGCTGGGAAAACTGGCTTTCCACGTGCTAAAGATTAAAAGTAGATCCATATTGGGCCTGGGATTTAGCTCAGTGGTACCGCTGCCTGCCTGGCAAGCGCAAGGTACTAAGTTCAATCCCTGGTACCAAAAAAAAAAAGTAGACTCATATACCCATATCTATTATCGTGCACTAAACTCAAATCAAAATGGATCAGAGATCTAAATATTAAAACAGAAACACTAAATATGATGCAAGATAGAATAGGTAGAATTCTTGAAGACATTGGTTCAGGCAATGATCACAAGAAGTATCTCAAGGAATCAACAATTTGGATCTCATCTTAGTAAAAATTAAAATTGATCATAAAACATTTTTATCACTCTTAAAAGAAATAAACCTGTTAGCTTTCATTCTCTATATTTGTTTCTGATTTCTGATTTACAGTGACTTTTGTATGCTTTAATTTACTTCCCTTTCTTTTAGTTTTCTGGTTCGTGTTTCTGTTCCGGGCATATTTATGCCCTACCTTTTCCCATTAACTAGCTAATTACCTATTAAGAGTAAGGCTACTAGGAGAGCTTGTGGCTGATAGAAAGGTGGAAGGAATCTTAAGAGACCTTTTGAGAAATAAATCCTTCCTACTCCCAGTTGCTCTAATATTTTTAGTTTTGACATTGGATCTTACAAATGCACAGGATGCTTTTTTCCCCATTAGTGGAGAACAAGAGGTGGTCGCAGGAAATCCCTTTAGCTGACCCCTTGTTAACCTAGCCAAATTACTGCCAGATGTATCTGTAGATGCCCTTCCTAAAGAGCATTACTTTGTAGGCTAGCATGGTATGTGAAATTCAATCTGTGTAGAAATTATTTGCCCTAAATCTCCCTTTAAAAAGATTCTATCTCTAGAGGGCTAGCACATAAAAGTATTATCTGCCAAAAACATTAGCATGATTAGTTTCACCAGCTTATTCACAGCGGCATACTGAGAGCTTGGCTATTCAGCAGTTGTGGGTATTGCCAGGAAAGGAGTGGAAGATCAGGTCCCAGTTAAGATCATGATTAGGGAGGAACAGGGAAGCTCTAAAAGGGAGCAGAGAGAAGATAAGGACTGAGGACGTGAAATAGTCATAATGTTTGCATTTACTCACACTAGCCTTAATTTTGTAAGGCCCACAAACATTAATTTTTAAAAATCCGCATTTCTAAGGTGATGCAAACACAGTGCAGCTAAGGAACATTAGCTCTGTAGTACATTATAAAATTTATCTCTAGGGGCCGGGGATTTAGCTCAGTGGTTCCGCCGCCTGCCTCAAAAGCGCAAGGACCCAAGTTCGATCCCCGGTACCAAAAAAAAAAAATTTATCTCAAATGTGGCTGACCTTATTACTGTAATTTCTGTGACTACAAGTTATCTTTCAGAGTGTATATTTTTTCTATATATTGTACTTACTGTACATATCAATTATTTTATTTTAGGTAATAACCACATGAAAGAAGAAAATTATGTTGCTGCGGTGGATTGTTACACACAAGCGATAGAACTGGATCCCAATAACGCAGTTTATTATTGCAACAGGTAAACTGGGACCATTATAGCAGTTTTAAAGTTCTTAAACATTTGGATTAATAATCTGAAAGAAAGTTGTAAAATTTATTTAATAAAATTTGAAACTTCAGAAAATATAAAGGAGGAGGGAAAAATAAACTCATAAACTTATACCTCAGAGTCAACCGTATTAACCTTTTGGTGTGTTTTGTTTTAGGTAAGTGCACTCAATTTTAGAGCTTTATTCACTGGACATGTCATAAATATGTCCTAATTTCATTGAATTCCTTCGTACACATTTAAATGGTTACACATTGGTCTATTTTGGCTCTATTCTTTTTTATTAATTTCCTGTGCCTAGCATTGGAGTGGGCAAACAGGTATGCAATAAATATTATTTTTGAATAAGTCGATACATACACTTTAATTTACTTAACTATTGACCTGCTGGTGGACATTAAGCTTGTTTCTAATTTTTTCAATCATATTAAGCTATTGTGAATGTCTATGTTTCTAAATTTTTTTTTATGCTTCAGATTTTCTGGACTTTATCCCTAGAAATGCATTTAATTGGTTTAACAATGTAAATATTTAGAAAATTGATACAAATTGAAAAATCATTTCAACTTCTTTGAATGTATTTTGAAAATTAATTTTCTCCTCAGGATTGTGTATCTATTTTGCCATGCTCTTTATCAGCATTAAGCACTAAAATTATTAATTATAAATTTAAATTATAATTTTTTGTCTCCATGTTAATTTTCCCAATTTATATTTAATTACTGATGAGATTGGACTTTATAATTTCTTTTTTGAACTCAGTGCCTTTGCACTGAATTACATACCCAGCCCTTTTTACTTTTTATTTTGAGACAGGGTCTTGCTAAGTCACTGAGTTGTCCAGGCTGGGCTCAAACTCATGATCCCCCTGCCGTAGCCTACTGGAGTGTCAGGATAAACAGGTGTGTGCTGTCACCATCCCTGGTTAGACATTTTTCAAATATTGGTATTAGTGGTTTTTTCTCCTAAATTTTCTATTCATACTATCTATAGACTGAATGATTATTTCCTCCAAAATTCATACATTGAAATGTAAACACCATTGCAATGATGTGTGGAGGAGAGACCTTTGGAAAGTGATTAGGTCATGAAGATGGAGCTGTCAGGAATGGCTAATGACCTCATAAAAGAGACTAGAGAGCTCCTTTCCCCTCCTGTCGTGAGGAAAACAGTGGGTAGATTACCTGCATCTGACCTTAGCCTGTTTGACCTCAGATTTCTTGGCACTGTCCATTTTAACAAAGATCCGAACCCTCTAGGCCACATTTGCAAGGCTCTTTTACCACCTGTCTTTTGTTTGGCCTCAGCTATACCGGGTGCTGGCTGGTAGGAGGGTGAAGGGTAGAAGGACAGAAATTCGAGTATTGCTCCCCTTCCTCTGTTTTTATATTGCAGTGTGTATGTTAAAACAGGGCTTGTTTCATATCCTTATTTCCCACTTAAAGGCACCTGCCTTGTTTTCAGCTTTTGCCACGTGACCTTGGATTTTGGTCTCTGTGCTTTGTCGTGTTTTAGAGAAGGTAATGGTTCTTTGCTGTTGCTAACCTCTAGATGGCTGTATTACCCCTGCTTTGGCTTCTCAGCTCTTCTGTCATCTTATGTAATGAATTTCCTGCATTAAGTTATTCTGTTTAATATAAATTTCCAGTAGAACTTTCTGCAGTAATAGAAGTGTTTCACTGTTAAGTTTATATTTGGCTTTTGATTGATTGAAGTCCTCCTTTTTCACAAATTTTCCCTATCCTATCATTCAATCATATATTAATTTGACAGATTCTTACCAAACATGTACTACTACTATCACTGGAAGTAGAGGTGGTTGTTTGGACTGTAATGCAAGATATTATCCCTATAGAATTGTGTCTTGTAACATTCTATTTATTTATCCTGTAATATTTTTGGATAATGAATCTGTTAAGTAATATATTTGCTCTTGCTCCCAGTTTCATATAACACACAAAAATGAGAAGAATACAATCTCTCACATTATGCCAGTTACAAGCTAACGAATGGAGATATCACAGGGAAGGCTTAAGAGCAGAGTTCTGGATCCAGACTTTTTGGAGTCTAATATCTGCTTCTGCCAGTTACTAGTTATGTGACCTTTAACAAATTACCTAATGTATCTGTGCATTAGTTTTCCTATCTGTAAAGTATGTAGAATAGTAGTAATTATTTTATAGGGTTTTTGTAGAGGTCAGAGAATTTAAAGTACTAGGAAAGTGTGTAGTAGAGTGTTGTATACAAGTAATAATTATTATTATTATTTATGTGGCCCATTTCCTACCTTGATCAGAATATGAAGATAGATCCAAAGGTACCAGCTTCCAAACATATTCTCAATTGTCTTTTCTGATTACCAGTCTAGTACTAACCTTATTAAAATAGAATGTGGTGGCACACACCTGTAATCCTAGCACTGGGAGGCTGATACAGGAGGATTGCTGTATATTTGAGGCCAGCCTGGGCTACATAGTGAGTTCAAGGCCAGCCTCAACTATGTCGCAAGACCCTGCCTCAAAAAAGAAAATATAAAAATGAATAGATAATTAAATAAATAAATAAATAATAAAGAGGAATGTTAGTCTAACAGGATTTATTCTGAATTAATCCAGTGTCATGTCTTTTTTCTTTAATTTCTAACATTTTATTATGAAAAATTTCAGAGTTGAAGGATTCCAAACTTAGATTTTGCCATTAGTATTTCAGTATATTTGCTATATCGTGTACTTATCCTCTATCTATTTTAGTCTCTTATTTTTGATACATTTCAAAACAAATTGTAACCATCTGTACAATTTCTTCCTAAATATGTAGCATATTATTAACTAGAGTTCAAAATTTGTTCACTTCTTTTTCTTTTTAGGTAAACTTTTCATACAACAAAACAGAAATTTCAATGTACTTTCACTGAATTTTGACAAATATATCACCTATGTAACACAAACCTCTCTTAATTTTAGTATATGTGCTGCTGAAGTGAGTACCACAAACCTCTCATAACATATTGAAAATTTCTATCAGATGTCCAAGAATTTCCTTGTGTTCTTTCACAATTAGCTATAATAATCTACCTGGGGAGATCACTGTCCCCTCATCCCCACTCCTACCATAGATAGATTTGTCTGTTCTAGAATTTTATATGAAGGAATAATACATAATTTTCTTTTTTTTAAAAATTCTTTTATTGGTACATTTTAGGTATACAATACAATTACATTTCTCATTGGGAATTGTACCTTTATATGATGTATCTTGGTTCTTATTTTTTCCCCATTCCTAGCCCTCCCTTCACCCCCTCCACCCTTCCCTATTTACAAAGACTTTATTTCCATTTTTTCCATTTCTCATCGTTTTTCCTTTCCCTTCTTTCCTTTCCCCTGCCCCTCCCACTACCCCTACCCCTTTGGACCTTTTCTTCCTATTTTTCAGGAATAATACATAATTTTCAATAGAAGACCTTTTGTGTTTGAGATTCAACCATTATGTTGCATATATCAGTAACTCATTCTTGTTTTTCAGTAGCATTTTATTGTTTGAATGTATCACAATTTGCTTAGTCATTTTCCTACTTGTGGTAACTTAATCTGTTTCTAGCCTTTTTTTTTTTTTTGCGTTTTGTATAAAATTTATAGTTGTTACCGGAAGGGAAAAGTTATATCTGTAAGGAATTGGGTTGTCCATACTGGAAACATTCATTTCCTCTCTTCATTAAAAATATTCCTTTATTAATCTATTCTAATGGTCTATACCAGAAAAATAGAAAATCCAAATAAGTTGTGGAGAATGAAATCCCCAAGCTGTGGTTTGTGTATCAGTTTTATTCCCTATAATCATATGAAAATACATAATGTTTTAAATTAGCATATGAGACTTTGGTTTTTTTTGGTTCCTGGGATTGAACTCAGGACCTTGCGCTTGCCAGGCAGGCACGGTGCCACTGAATTACATCCCCGGCCCTTAAATTAGCATATGAGACTTTTAAATAAATGTATTTAAAATTATTATGAAATGATATGATCTGTTATGTTATCAGAAAATTGCTTATTTTTAGAGCACATTTGCTTTTAACTGTGAATATCGAAAATATAAGCCTACTAACTTATTTTTAAACAGATTAGAGCTCACAAACAGTCTTGGTCTATAAGTATTATATTAAATGAGTTTCTTGGCAATACTCATGTTTGCTTTTTATTTAATTATTGTTAAGCTAAAATAATAATGTCCTTGTTTTGCATTTGAACACTATCTTCTCTGAGAAATTTCATAATAGAGCATGCTATTTAAATTAAATAATTAGAAAAGCTTACATATCTAATGCAAATGCTGAATAAAATTTTAGGTTAATTTTAGGACTTCTTGGAAACTCTTATAGTTATAGATATCTTAATAGCCTGTAGACTTGGCAACTACTCCTTGCCATTTTCCTTAGCCAGCTGACTGCTAGGAGCTGGAAGCTCAGAACACCAAATCTAAATCTTGCTTTCAAAATTTATTTCACAGTTTTATTACTAATAAAAATATTTTTAATGTACTAAGCTTACTAGATGAACTACAGTTTACTTTTTATACAAGTGACTTTTTTATGTGCTAAAAATTAATCATTTGATGCAGTTGTTTTGCCTAAGTCTTTCTTTTCTAGTCTTCTATTTTGACTTTTAAATATCCTACTGATGCTTGGGGTTCTGCTTAGAAGGAAGGCCTGAATACTTCCTTGTTATTATGTGTTTTATGCTTTTTTTTCTAAATGTTTAGCACTTACCACAGTGTATAGCATTTATGTAGGGGTTTATCACATGTTCTGTCTTAACTTTTGTGCATATTTATTTTCTTTCTTCAGATGAAGAGCAGGGGCTTATATATATTTGTAGCTCCTATACCACCTAGCACTATGCTTCACAGGAATTCAGCCAATTTTTCTTGGATGAATGGCAAGTTATAAAAGAAATATAGACATTTCCACTAATATCAAAGCAACTAGATATTCACAGTAGCATTTGTAGACGTAAAGCAACAAACTGTTGAATATAGATCTAAACACTTTCAAGTACTTTCTGGTATAAAATGGACAGAAGTTTTTTGTTCACATACTAATTCGGTGTTCTTATTTCTTTTGTGTAGCCTCAGTATTGAGTATATTACTTCACCTACAGTAGGCTCATGTTTATGGGATGGATAGATAGTTGCATAACTTACTAAGGCAATACATGGGATAAAAAGTACAAATTAGTACAAGGAAAATGTAGGGGTTTTTAGTACCTGAAATTCCAAATTAGTGCCTTGAAACTTGCTTATAATAAAATTTTTTTCCTCTTTTTCTTAGGGCTGCTGCACAAAGCAAATTAAGTCACTACACAGATGCAATAAAGGATTGTGAAAAAGCAATAGCAATTGATTCAAAGTACAGCAAGGCCTATGGGAGGATGGGGTAAGTTCTAGGAAAATGTTCAATGTAGTACCGAGTTGTATTAGATATACTGTTCTTATTGGCTTAATTTTGAATTTTCTGCTTAATACTCCACCTTCAGAATTAGTAAGATAAATATAATGTAAGGGAGGAAGTGACTCTAATTCCTGTGAGTCGAGAGTGAGATGACTGGTTGGTTTTTCTTTTTTTGACTGATTGTTTGAGAAAATCATACATCATACAAGTAGACTCCTCTTATGACCATGACCTCAAATATCTTAGATAGGCTTTCAGTATTGTTAGTCTTCCTACTGTTTTCTTCTTCATTCATTTTTTTCTATTCTCTGATGTGACTATTTCATAACTCTTTATCTCCCTCTAATGATACTGCCTTATACTTCATTGTAAAAATAAGTTATTTATCTTCTTAATTCCAAGTCTGCCAGTCCACCTGCATTTATATCTACACAGATTGCCTTCTTTTTCTTGTTAAATTGAAGGGTTCTTTGGCTGGGGATTTAGCTAAGAGGTTCTGCCACCTGCCTCGCAAGCCCAAGGTTCTGAGTTTGATCCCTGGTACCAAAAAAAAAAGGAAGGGTTCTTACCTAAGACCATTACCTTCTACTCATGCTTTAAGATGTTATCCTTTTGTACTTTCACACTTCTAATTATCCCCTTTAACTTCTGCCAGTTTCCCTTATTCTAATAGATGATATTGGCTGGTATGTGAAATAGTAATAAAAAATCATTCCTTGGAACCAATCTTTTACCCAGTGTTCCTCCCCAGCTACAATCTCATATCTTAGTTCCTCTTTGTGTGTGAAGCCCTTGATGATTGTACTTACTGTCTTATCTTTATCATCTCTTGTTCTTTCTTTAGCCAATTCTAATAGGGCTGTGATGGTTTATTTTCTTTGTCAGGTTGACTAGACTAAGGGATGCCCAGATAGCTAATAAAGCATTATTTCTGACTTTCTGAGGGCATTTCTGGAAGAGATTAGCATTTGAATCTATAGATTGAATAAAGATCACTCTCTGCAATGTGAGTGGGTATCATGCAATTCTTTGATAGTCCAAACAGAACAAAAAGCCAGGGCTAGGATGAATCATTCTTTTTGCTTGAGCTGGGGCATCCATCTTCTCCTGCCCTGGGACCCTGGCACTCCTTGATCTTGAGCCTGTAGAGTCTGATCTGGTCTTATACCATCAGCTTCCCTGCTTCTCAGGTCTTCAGGTTTGGACTGCAGCTACATCACTAGTTTCCCTGGGCCTCCAGCTTACAGATGGCAGATAGTGAGACTTTTAAAATTTCCATAATTGTGTAAAGCCAGTATCTCATAACAGATCTCTATATATCTCTGTCATGATACTATTGGTTCTGTTTCTCTGGAGAACCCGAAGACAGTCACTGTATCAAGATAGCTTTATTCAAGGTCACAAGTTGTCTGTATTTTATCAAAGCTAATATTATATTTTGTATCCTCACATTACCTATCTTTTAATATTTGGTGCAGTTAACCTATATTTGAAAGACTTCATCCTATACTTTTTCCCACTTGCCTGGTTTTCCTTGTACTGCACTGGATGCTCTTTTCCAGTCTCCCTTGATGGTTCTTCTTCCTTTACTGCCTCTGAAAATGGTATGTTGCAAGGCTCTGTCCTCTGCTGCTGCTTCTTTTCTGTCCTCTTTTCCAATTTCATTCTACCCCGTATTTTTAAATTCCATCTGTTACTCATTATTTGAAGATTATGTATTTATGAATTTGCCTATTTGCTAAAATTTATTTGTAATCCTCAATTCAGTGTAGATGTATGGTCCTTCTGTGGTCATTCATGGACATTCACAAGTGGTAAAAATTGGTTGTACAGTACTGATTTGCACTATCTCAGCAGAGGTTGAATAGCTCTTGTTCTTCTTTGTCAGTTTATGCTAAAACAGTCTATTTGATGCTAATTTTTGTGATTTTGCTGTTTATAGTAGCCCATCGGTATGTCATCTATTGTTCCTAAGTGCAAGAAGCTGTAACATGTCTTATAAAGAAAATACATGCGAAAAAAAACCCCACACAAACAAAAAAAATACATGTGTGGAACTAAGCTACGTTCATGCATGAGTTAGTGATGTTGCCCTTGAGTTCTGTGCTAATGAATAAATATTGCATACTAAAGTTTCTTTAAACAGAAATGCATATAAAACAAGGTTATGTATTGATCAGTTGGGGAAAATGTGAGCCGAAGTCCACAGGAACCTAATCTAATGCTTTCCCTATGAATAATTATTTTGTATTTGCTAATACACTGCTCATGGAGATTTTATGGAACTTAATTTTTATGACTTAGAATCAACAGTATATGTTGTTTGACCTCAAGGTATATATCTGATTTCCACGCTCATATTATATCTGACTTCCACACTCATATATGCAACTACTTTTCATTATTATGTTTGGATATATAATAGGCATTTTGAACATAGTGTTTCAAACAGAACTCTTGTTCCTTTCTTAAATCTTTCCCACCTCAGTAAATTACATCATCATTCATGTACCCAGTGCTCAGGGTCAAAAGCTGAGGAGTCATTGTTCATTCCTTTTTTGTTTTTTGAGACAGGGTCTTGCTAGGCAGTTCAGGCTCTCCTTGAACTTGCTATGTAGCCCAGGATGACCTTGAACTCACAGTGATCCTTGATTACAAGTGTGCATCACCACACCTGGCCAACTGTACATTCTTGTTACATATGATGCACTGAATCTACAAGTCCTGTCTCTTCTAATTTCCATGTATATCTTGGATCCAGATGATGAGCACTATCTTGGCCTCTGAGTACTAGCTTAGGCCTATATTATAGGTCTAATCCAAACTGCTATCTCTTACATGGCTATTTCAGTTGCTTACTAAGTGGTCTCCTTGCCTCCATTCCATACATCACCCAGGTTGATCCTCTACAGAGAAGCCAGAATGAGCTTTCTAAAGCATAACTCAGAACTTTTGTTAAGGAGGGGAAGAAGAGTCAAAGGGAGGGGAGGGGAATGGGAAAAAAAGAAGCAGCAAGACATATCATGTTCAGGAACAAATTCCCTATGATCAATATTATCACTATGTATATCTAAAATGTACCAAAAAAGGTTTTGGTTCAAAAAAAAAAAAAAAAAAAAAAAAAAATTAAAGAGGATCTTGTCTATATACATAAACCAGAAAAGTATTTTTTCAACAGTGCTCCTTGATAATCTGACATCACCTCTTGACACACTTTGTTTTCTGTGCTCCTTTATTATTAGCCTTTGTTCTGTACTTTAAGCATACCAACCAACCTTAAATCTTTCTCAAGACCTTTCTGTTTATTGCAGCATCTGTTTATTGCTCCTCCTGCCCCTATTTTCCCTATGACTTATTTTCTGCATATGATCCAGGTCTTTTCAATGTGGCCACTTTTTGTTTGTTTTGTTTTTGAGATGGTCTATTCCAGGCCTGTCTTGAACTCATTATGTATCCCAGGCTGGCCTCAAACTCATTGTGATCCTTTTGCTTCAGCCTGCAGAGTGCTGGGATTACTGGCTTCATTTTGGCCACTTTTGAGTAGCTCTCCTGTCTATTATCTTTAATATTGCCTTTTGTTTGCATGTTTATTTGTTGCTTGTCCTCCCCAGGTACAGTGAGGTTTTCTTTTTTTGATACCGGGGATCGAACTCAGGACCTTGCGCTTGTGAGGCAGGCGGCGGAACCACTGAGCTAAATCCCCGGCCCAGGTTTTCTTAAACTTTGTCATTTTCATTATGCAGTTCTCAGTATTGGTACCTTGTTCATAGTAGAGTTTCAGTAAATATTTATTGACTGTTGATTAATTGAGGACTCTTATGAAATATATCTCAGGGTTGACTGGTAGAAAACTAATTAGGTTGTGAGAATTTCTCTGTGGTTGACACTGTATTTTATCCAGATCTGACTTACCTTACTATAAGGTAAGTCAGAAAAGAATGAACTGGATTCATTTATTAAAAATTCCTTAATAGTACCTCTTCATATATACCATTATTTAATTTGAAGTAATTTTCCAACAAATTATAAATAATTGGAGATAAACATTAAAATTTAATAACTAAGTATTTGACATATTCCTGGGATAATAATTTGATATTTGAGTTGTAAACAATGCTTATTATACCTATTTTTTTATTATACCTATTTAATAAGTAACATGTCTTGTTCAAGAATAGTCATCTGATACCCCAGACTTTTTTTAAGCAGCAAATTGACATTTTTTTTTTTCAAAATCTTTGCTAGGAAGAAAGACTGTGGGATATTTTGAAGCATAAATATAGTTTAGAGTTTTTTACATTATTGTTGTTTTTTTAGCTGGGGTCTTACTATATTGGCCAGGCTGGCTTTAAACTCCTATGCTCAGGTGATTTTCCTGTCTCAGTTGCCTCAATAGCTGGGACTACAGATGCACACCACATTCCTGTCTTGGAGTCTTTTAAGATGGTATTATCATCATGGATTTACATGACCACAGGAATTATTAGTTGGCACAAATCTCTGCAGAGCTGGGCATATGTAAAGCAAATGACTTCACATGTCAGGCTTTAAAAATGGAAGAGTTCAGAAGGTTCATCTCCAAGTGTTATTATCCATATGGGACAACCAAGGTTGTTACCAAGCAGAGTGGAAAGAATTCAGACTAACAGAATTGTGGAGTTAGAGGGAATTTTAGTGACAGTCTTATAAACCATGGAACAACAAATTAATTGTAATTTGGATTAGAATTAAATACTAAGATAAACCTTTTGACTCTCTGGTATCCTGATGTTCTTTAGCATAACTCTTCTACTGTTATATCCTGTATTTCTTTCAGGCTGGCCCTTACTGCCATGAATAAATTTGAAGAAGCAGTTAGAAGTTATCAAAAGGCATTAGATCTTGACCCTGAAAATGATTCCTATAAATCAAATCTGAAAATAGCAGAACAGAAGTTAAGAGAGGTATCTAGTCCTGTAAGTTTTAAAGTGTGAAATGAGTGATATACTTTCTGTCTTTTACAATTTATTGAAATTAAATTGTAGTAGTTGGAATGATTCTCAGATATAGCTCTTTTACAGACAGGAACTGGACTGAGCTTTGACATGGCTAGCTTGATAAATAATCCAGCTTTCATTAGTATGGTAAGTATATTTCCTTTTCTGGTTTTTTGTTTTTCCTACTGGTTTTATTTTCCATAGAGCAATATAATTCCAAAACTTTTTCACCATTTTTTTTTCTTGGTACTGGGGATTGAACTCATTCACCAAACATTTTGTTTTTCACCTAACATTTTTAAGAGATGGGGTTTTGCTTTGTTGCCCAAATTGGCCCTAAATTCTTGAGTTGAAGTGGTCTTCTTCCCTCAGCCTCCCCAGTAGCTGGGACTATATGCTTCAAATCTTTTTAGAAACAAATAAGGGAGTTTTTGTGCTGTTGGTAGTAGTGAGGTGCTTATGGCAAAGGGTAAGGCAGATATTCTTCCCTTGTCCATCTTCCTCTGAAGGAAACTAGAAATGAATTTCAGAAAGCTCATAGGTTCCTTAAAGGGGTGTATAGAAATCTGTGTATAGGTTGATATCTGCATGTTTCTAGGGAGAAAACCATATTTTTCATCACATTTTCACAGGAGTGTACAAATATCCAAAAAGTTAAAAAACCACTCTCTCACATGAAACTGGGCCTAGGAAGATAGATTTAACAGTTGAGGTCTGAAGATTTTCGCTGTGATAGTTCCCTAAATTTGTCCTCAGTAGTATCTGCCTTGTTTTCTATCTTTAGAGTTTATTTGGAGTTGAGGGTATAACCATAAAAGAATTATTTGAATTTTTCATGTAAGTCTCATATATATGTATTTTATTTTTCAAACCAACAGTCTTTTGGAAAACATACAATGGTCCAGTATACAGTAACTTTGATTTAGAGGGTTTAGGATGTTACCTGAGCATATAAAGCTCTCTCAGTGACTGTATATTTTGGATAATAAACCTTCTGTGTTCTCCTTGAAGGCAGGAATTAGTTCTTATTCATCTTTGTTTCCTTCAAATAAATGTGTCTTGCATCTGATAAATCCTCAGTTGAGTTAAAATGCATAGATCACTTATTCCCAGTGAGGAGAAGATGTCTTTTGAGCAATCTGTAGCCCCCTACCAAATCAAAGTTAGTTGGTCATCCTACCTAGTTGCTGACAAATATGTGCCTTTTTGTAAGTTTTATGACATTTTTTAACCTGGTTACCCACGTGTAGGACTCAGCTTGTGCTACTGTAGCAAGATGTGAAAATGGAATTCTTTTAGTTCCAGATCAGGCTTCAAACTGCTATGTACCAAAATAAGGTGTGACACTACCATGTAAGAGTTGCAAAAGATGAGGGTTAAAAAACACATTTTAAAAGGGCCAGGGCTGGGGATATAGCTCTCAGTACATGCCTAGAGAGATTCCCAGCACTGGAAACAAAAAAAGGCTCAGGTTGATAGAAATTAAAAATGAGACCTTGGGAGAGAGCTTTTGGAGTTCCAGAGCTCCGTTCTGTATGTGAAGGAAGTGGGGAATCCTACCTTCATCTTAAACCCACCAAAATGGGCTTTTTTGGTCTACTCAAAAGAGCCCCATGGAATAGTCACATCTCTTAAGTTCTCTTTCAGAGTGGATTCTCTCTTCTCTATAGGAGATTCTTGTTTTTTGAGACAGAATCTCATTGTGTAGTCCAGACTGGTCTTGACCTTTGTCTCAGTTACTTTTCTCGTTTCAGAGACAAAATACCCAACACCCAAAATTAAAGGAGGAAAGGTTTATTGTAGCTCACAGTTTGTAGAGGTTTCAGTTCATAGTTGGTTGGCTTCAAAGTGAAGTGGCATGGCAGAGGGGTATCGCAGAGGGAAACAGTTAATGGGGGGGCAGGCAAAAGAGATGGCAAAGCAGCAAGCAGCAGCAGCAGCATGCAGCATGCAGCATATAGCGAGGCAAAAGTGGAATTCCCTTTTATCCCTTTCAGGCTACCTGCCCTTTGGGTGGTGCCAACCACAACCAGGGTGGGCCTTCCTATCATCCACACCCAGAACTATCAATCAGTGGACTAATTTAGTAATCACACATTCTTTTTTTTCCCTGGTCCTGGGATGGAACTCCACCTTGCTTTTGCAAAGCAGGCCACAGAACCACTGAGCTAAATCCCAGCCCTAATTACACATTCTTAATCCCAGAATCACACAATTTACTCCCGACATCAGATACCCTAGAACCAACCACCTTTGTAAGTCCCATCTATGAGCACATGAGGCTTTGGGGGGACATCTAGATACAAGCTATAACAACCTCAATGTAGCCTCACCTGGTCTCAAATTGTAGTCCTACTGCCTTTGTGTCTCTAGTGCCGGGATTAAAGGTATATACTACAAGGAGATTCTTTATACAGTAATATCTCAGTTCATGAATACTTCTATTTGCAAACAATTTGGTTCTCAAACAAAAGCATTCAACAGAATTTCGTTTCCATTTACAAACTGCACATCAGGTGACAAATACAACTGTGGTCATTTTTCCTACACAGACGCAAATGCAGCCATCTTCCCCCAAATTGTAAAACAAATTAAGTTTGTGAACCGAGGCACCACTGTACTTTAGTTTCTATTTTTCCTTTTGGCTTAATTCATCTGATCAGTAGTAGCAAGTAAATTGCCACCAAATCATCTTAGTGTTTTTTTATAGTTTGGCCTATAATCTTTATCCTTGCAATGTCTTTTTTTTTAACTTTTTAAAGAATATTTACTGTGAACTGTCTTTTTTTTTTTTTTTGGTACCAGGGATTGAACTCGGGACCTTGCACTTGCAAGGCAGGCGCTGGAACCACCGAGCTAAATCCCCGGCCCTGTACAATGTCTTTTTAATACCAGTTTTTTCAGTGCCTTTTTAATATTCCCATTTACACTACTTTGTATAGCACACTAAAACTGCAAAGAGCTCTTAAGAGTTTATTTGGAGCTAGTGGTATAATGGTAAAAAAAAAAAAGACATGTTTACATGTTTCAGTTTTCATTCTTCAACCTTAAAAAAACACTTTGTTAAAGATTCCTACATATTGGGTTCAGTAGCAGAGTGCTTGCCTTGCATGTGCAGGGCCCTGGGTTCCAACTCCAGCAACTGGAAGGGAAACAAATATCCCTACATATTAACTGCCTTTAATAGGAGATACTATTTTTCAATTCTAGGCAGCAAGTTTAATGCAGAACCCTCAAGTTCAACAGCTGTAAGTATATAAAAGGAGCTTGTTACATTTTCTCCTTCTACTTCTCAGGTTGCTAATTTGAGCACATCTGCTCAAAAGTGATAACCTGCCTTGAATGTCAGTCATTTGGAACTTAATGTCACATCTATTTGACCTAACTTCTTATATAATGTGGGTATATTTAAGTGAGTTTTTCTTGACCAGTTATCCTACTTATTAAGAATATATGCTAATCTTGTTAACATACCTCTTGCATACTCTAGCATGTCAGGAATGATGACAAATGCCATTGGGGGACCTGCTGCTGGAGTTGGGGGCCTAACTGACCTATCTAGTCTCATCCAAGCGTAAGTATTTAAAAAAGAAGTAATGAAAATGTATTTTATGTTTTACAATTTGAGAGGGCAGGGCTTTCTTGTCTTTGTGTTTCTTTTTTACTAGTGTTTGCAATATGTAATATGCACGTTCATTGTGGGGAGTTGAAACATACATATTGCATCTCAGTCTTTTTTATTTCTCCTTCCCTTCCTTTCTTACTCTCTCCTTCTATCCTTAGTCCACTTCCCATCTGCAAAGTCTACCTCCCTGTTTCCTATTGTCTTTTATTTTGCTGTATAAATTCTTTATGCTTTGGGTTTCTCATATAAGAGAAAGCATACATTTTTTTTTTGGTACCGGGGATCGAACTTGGGTCCTTGTGCCTGCGCAGCAGGCAGCGAAACCACTGAGCTAAAGCCCCGGCCTGAAATCATACAATATTTAACCTTCTGTGTCTGATTCATTTCACTTAACATTATTGTCTCAAAGTGCATTCATTTTCTACAAATAACTCAAATTTATTCTTTATGGCTGAATAGTATTCCTTTGTGCATATGTACCATACTTTCTTTACCCGTTCATCTGTTGATGGACATATAGGCTGTTTTCAAGATTTAGCTGTTTTGACTTGTGCTCCTATAAACATGGGCTTTACCAGGTATGGTGGTGCATGCCTGTTATCCCAGCACTGAAGAGGCAGAGGTGGGTGGATCACGAGTTCATGACCATCCTGGGCTACACAGTGAGTTCAAGGCCAGCCTTAACTACATAGTTTTCCCGTTTGTTGATTATTGTTGTTATATCTCGTGCAATTGAGGGTCTGTTCAGAAAGTGTTTGTGCCTGTCTTCAATAGTTGTACCTATTTTATCTTTGAGCTCATTCAGTGTTTGTCTTAATATCTAAGTCATTGGTACATTTTTATTTTAGAACAGAGTGTGAGATACAGGTCTAGATCCATCTTTTTACATGTGGATAACCAGTTTTCCCACCACCATTTGTTAAAGAGTATTTTTTTCTCCAGCATGTTTTTGGCCCCCTTCTCAAAAATTAGATGGCTGAATGCCCCTGGGGTTGTTTCTGCATTCTCTCCTCTGTTCCATTGATCTGCATGTCTTTTTTTTTATGCCGGAACCATGCTGGTTCTTTTTAATCTGTTGCTTTATAATATAATTTGAAACCCAGGATTATGATACCTCCTGGTTTGCTCTTGTTATTAACCATTTGTTCTTCTGGGAAGTTCTTTACTGGATTCATTTCAATTTCCCATTTTTTATTGGGTCATTTATTGGGGGGGGTGTCTGATTATTTTCAATTTTTTATATATATTTTAGTTGCTAGTCCTCTGAGGAATAGCTGGGCAAAAAATTTTTCCCAGTCTGTAGGTTATCTCTTCCCTGTTGTCTCTTTGCTGTTCATAAGCCTTTTAATTTTATAATTGTAATCTCTTCCTTTTGAATGGTTCCCTTTACCAGTATATAGTGGCCATCTTTGCCTCTCCTGACCAATTTTGGCTTGAAGTCTGCTGTGTCTGAAATTCCCACTTCCTTTCATTCTCTGGTTTCATGGGGAATCATTTTCCATCGTTTCACCTTTAGTCTGTGAGCTTCTTTTTGGATGAGATGTGCCTCCTGTAGACAATATATGGTTGCATTTTGTTTTTTGATCCAATCTGCCAGTTTGTATCTTTTGAATGGGGAGTTAAGACCATTGACAGAGTTATTATTGTAAGGTGTACTGAATCCTGTCATTGCATTATTTTTGAAGTGCTGATTCCTTTTTCCCCCCCTTTACTCTCCCAGTTAGATGTATACTTTCCTTTGGACTGTGGAGTTAGGGGCCTTCCTGTCTCTGTGTACTATTATCAGAGCTTCCTTACCTTTTTTTTTTTTTTTTTTAAGGTACTGGGGATTGAACTCGGGTCCTTGCACTTGCGCAGCAGGTGGCGAAACCACTGAGCTAAATCCCCAGCCCCTAGCTTTCTTATCTTTTATTGGCCTCTTTAAACTTATTAAATCTCAAAGTCCTTATATAAGTAGGAATCACTTTTTAAAGATAGGACTCTGGAAGACCTGGGTTGTCAGGCCAGCACTGTCTATTGAGAAATCATGTGGGCTCAAAATGATTTTTTCCTTCCTCAAGGGATCTGTATTTGTCAGCTTCCCCATCACTGGTAGACACTCCCCAATACCCACAACTTAAGAGGAGGACAGGTTTAATTTGGTTCATGGTTCAGTAGATTCAATCCATGGACAGTTGGCTCCAAGGTAGAAAACGTCATGGTGTAAGGGCATGGTGGAATAAAGCTGCTCAGTTAGGTGGCTGGGAAGCAGAGAAGGGGACCACCACCAGAAAGGGATTAGGGATCAGATGTAGATCCCAAGGCCATGGCTCTGTAATCCATCCCGATAGGTGGTTCTGGATTTCCCAGGGAATATCCTAAAGCCACTTGACTCTCTACCCTAACTCCACTACAGGATCTTCAAGTGCCAGGAGAATCTTGAAGGATAGATGGTAATAGTGGTAGGCAATTTATACTTCTATTCATTAGCTAGAGAAACTGAGGTAGAAATTAGTGACTGAGGAATTCAGCCTGTCTGTGGCAGAGTGAGGTCTATATTTAGTCCTGTTTTGTTTTGTGGTGCTAAGATAGAGCTGAGGGCCTCATAAATGTTAGGCAAGTACAATACAATTGAGCCACACCCCTAGCCACATCCCTAGCCTAATGCTAATTTTTTTATTACTTGATTTTGTCAGTAGTAAATTAAGGTCTTTAGTTTCTTGATGTAGTGATATCAATACTTTCATCTTTATTTACAGAGGATTTAAGGAGTTGGTGACCAGCTACTTTTGATGGCATGGAAATAGTAAACATCATATATCCAAATATATTGTATTCTCATATGTAAAGAAATTAATCCTTTAACAGTGAAGACCCAAGGAAAAGGTTTTTGACAGATGTGAATAACTACTCAGGGATATAACAGAAAGTTAAATATTTACTTAAAATACTATTAGTTTAGGTATAAATACATATTTAAAAATAAAATTTAGTTTAGTGGTAGCATAGCTGTGTAGCATTTTTAAGGCCATGGGTTGGATTCCCAGCACTGGGGTAAAAAAAAGTGAAAAAAAAATCTCATATTACATATATTAATGTTAAGACCATTTTGGAAACTTACTCATACTTTTTCAATGCTTGTCATCACTAGAGAAACTCTGTATCTTCTCATTACTTGAACATATTATTTTCATATTTAATTGCTCAAGATGCTATTTTTTTGAGTGTATCTAATGCTGCCAATTTCAAGTTTTATATGAAGCCACAAGTACCATATGTTGTTTGTGATCATGACCACGTAACCACTTTGGTTTTTTATTTATTTATTTATTTTCCTTAAATTCTTCTATTGGTACATTTTATTGGTACATTAAATTCTTTTATTGGTATATTTAGGTATACAATACATTTACATTTATCATTGGGAACTTGTACCTTTACATGATGTATCTTGGAACCACTTTGTTTTAGAGAAGGTCTCACTATGTATTTCAAGCTGGCCTCAAACTCACAGCAATCCTCTTGTCTCAGCCTCCCAAATTCTGGGATTACAGCCATGTGCCACCACACTGGGCAGAATATTGTACTGTATTGTTTAGAGTGATTTTTAAGTGGCATGAATATCATGTCTAATATATGTACTAAAGTTATAAACTTGGGTATTTGTGTTTAGTTCACCTTTTAAAAAATCAGTTGTTATACTGAGATCCCACCTCACTCCAGAAAGAATGGCTGCTATCATGAAATCAACCAATAACAAATGCTGGCGGGGCTGCAGGGAAAGAGGAACCCTGCTCCACTGCTGGTGCGAGTGTAGACTGGTGCAACCACTGTGGAAATCAGTGTGGAGATACCTCAAAGAACTAGGACTAGAGGTCCCATATGACCCAGCTATTCCCCTGCTGGGTGTCTTCCCCAAAAGAATTAAAAGTATCATACCACAGTGATATATGTGCACCCATGTTTATAGCAGCACAGTTTGTAATAGCTAAAGCTTGGAAACAGCCCAAGTGTCTATCATCTGGAAACTGGATAAAGAAGATGTGGTTTTTTTATATAATGGAGCACTACTCAGCCATAAAGAACGAGAAACTAGAGTCATTTATAGCTAAATGGATGCATATCAAGGTCATCCTCTTAAAGTGAAATAAATAGGACACACATGTGTAAATACCAAATAGTTTCTCTAGTGTGAGAAACTGAAAGTGTAAATAAGGATTAAAATGATTAAAATGAATAATTGATAATTTGAAATAAGAAAAAAGGTCCAAAGAGGGTAGGGGTGAAGGGAGGGGAAAGGGAAAGGAAAGAAGGGAAAGGAAAAATTATGAGAAAAGAAAATGGAAATGATGTCTATGTAAATAGGGAAGGGTACAGGTGGGTGAAGGGCGCACAGGTAATGGGGAAAAAATAAGAATCAAGATACATATACAGGTACAAGCACCCAATGATAAATGTAAACGTACTGTATACCTAAAATGTACCAATAAAAGAACTTAAGAATTTAAAAAACAAAACAAAACAGTTGTTAGGTAATCTCTGTAAGCACTGCAAACTGGGTATTATACCTTGCCAATGAGAAACTAGTATTCTAATAACCCTAAGAGCATTATATTTGAGTACATACAATAAAAGCATATACTTCTGAGCCCTTTCTTTCTGATTAGTTATTGGAATGGTAGATTTCACCCAGTTCAGACACCTCTTTAGCTTGAGTGTTTTGTTTTTTATAAAGAACTCTGCAGTGTAATAATGCTGTATAGACACACGAGTCTTTAGAAATGTTCTTTGTCTTTTTACAGGGGACAGCAGTTTGCTCAGCAGATACAACAACAGAATCCTGAACTTATAGAGCAACTGAGAAATCACATCCGGAGCAGATCATTCAGCAGCAGCACTGAAGAACATTCCTGACTTGATCAGGGACTCTAGCCCAGAATGAAAGTGGTTTATGGCTATTAAGTATTCAGTGTAGGTAGTAGCCAAAACCAAAACAACAACAAAAAGCACCAAAATAATGGAGGAAAACCTCTTGTGTGTATTCTTAAAGAGCAAATCTGTTTAGGCAATAGGTTTATCACAAAGAGACTGGAACATGACTCCTTGGAAATGAATGCTCACTAGCCTTGTTAAGTGCCAGTACAGCACTTTGCAAGGTTCCATCCATTTCCAATCTTTTATCATATTTGTACATTAGACTTAATAGCAGAGTACCTTTATTGTAGTACTGTTCATTGGTGAGTTCTTTAGCTCCAAGTTACCTTAAGAAAAGTTTTTTTGAGAAGAGAGATAACGGCAAAGGTTTGCCATACTGGTTTAGAAGATATACTGGGCAGCATATCAGGAGAGAAGAAACCTTAGGTTTGATAAGTGCTCTCAGTAATGAATATGTATCATAGGTGCCAGTACTATCTTTAATGCTCCTTCTTCTGATGAGTGACAGGGAATCTTAAGGGCTGATGAAAAGTAGCATTTGGTGCAATGGATATTTTGAGAAGAGAAAAAATAGATAATGTGAATGTATAGGAAGTAAAGGTAAGATGCTCAGGTTTTTTGCACAGTTCTTAAGTAATATTGTCTGTAGTTTAATACTAATAATATTAGCATGGCCAATTATGCTAAATACATAATAAAATACATTTAGAAGTCCTTAATGGTACTGGTTAGGTCAGTGATATAACTGTATAACTTAATTATCACAATTTCTCTGGTTGTGAATTTACCTTAGAAACTACCAGATATACCTAATTAGCACACAAAACCAATGGCTTGACCCTAAGTTAAGGATATTCTAAGTGGAATTTAATTATGTGCCCATAAAAATTGATTTAAAAAAATAATTATTTAATGGGTAACAAAAACATCACTAACATAGTTTGTCCATATAATCCTCTGCTATAATTTAGCTCAGTGTATCAGTTTTAGGCGTAACCTTAATTTGATGCAATTTTTTTTTTGTCTGGGGGGGTACTGGGGATAGAACTCAGGACCTTGTGCTTGCAAGGCAGGCACAGCACCACAGAGATAAATTCCCAGCCCAATTAGATGCAATTTAAATACCAGATTTAAAAGATTTTATTATGAATTAGATGCCACATTGGTTACTGGAGGGAAATGGCGTTAGGTACTAATGGCATCGCTCTGAAAAAAATGATGAATGAGATATTTCTAATTCCAAATGGAACTTCTAGTTTATCATGAAATCACTGAGCTATATCCTCAGGCTTTTTACTTTGATATAAGGTCTTTCTAAAATTGCCCAGGCTGGCCTTGAACTTGTGATCCTCCTGCCTCAGCTTCCTGAATATTTGGAATTTTAGGTGTGTAACACAATTTTCATAGAAATGATTTTAAGGACCACACATTGTGGTTCTGATGTAGGTCCAAGGGCTTAAATTTATTTGTTTCAGGCTGGCCTAAAATTTGTGGCAATCCTGCCTCAGTCTTCCAAGCGCTACAATTATAGGCATGTGCCACCACACCTGGCAAGAGCTTAAAATTTAGAGCAACACTAGGATAGAGGTTTCTCCCCAAGCTAGACCAGCAAATGCATAAGCACCTGGGCTCAGGCTAAAATGAAGACCTGTATTAGCATATGGTTCTGGCTAGAGAAGAGCAGGACTTAAACCTGAAGCCTTCTGAAATTAAATCTCCTATAGACTATCTAAACCATCTTAATTTATATGAACTTACACTCAGCTCTTAAGTGCTTAAGTATTACACAAAATAAAGTACTGATCACATAAAAGTACTGTGATAAAAGCAAAGTTGGTCCTTAATTAAGAATTTATAATTATTCTTACCTAGTGAAAATTAGCATTTCTAGCACAATTATTTTAGACTCATTAAAAATGCTTCAGAGAGGGCCAGGGATGTAGCTCAGCAGCACAACACCAGGCACAAAGTCCTGAGTTTGATTCCCATACCAAAAAAAAAAAAAGCTTCAGAGCTGGGTAAATGCCTGCCACTCTGATGATAAGGATGATAAATTCAAGCCAAGCCTGGGAAATTTAGTGACTTAGTAAAACCCGTCTCAAAATAAAAAACGGGCTGCAGATATAATTCAGTAGGCCCTAGGTTCAGGCCCCACTCCATTACCCCCCACCTCACACCAAACTTGCAGATCAGTAAAACTGATAAGCTTCTAGTTGACTAACTAGGAAAACAGAAAATACAAATTAACCTGGAGATATAAACCTTAGTGATAATGTGCTTGCCTAGCATTTATGAAACCCAGGGTTTGATCCCTAATATCATTAAAAAAAAGTAACAAACAGATATACTACAGATCTGTAGACATTAAAAGCGTAATTAGAAACACTACTACTAACTCTAGATCTATATATTCAACAACTTAGATGAAACAGGCCAATACTTTGTAGAATACAAATAACCAAAGTTCACTGAAGACAGATATCTAAACAGGCCTATATTATATTGAGAAAATTGAATTTATAGTTAACAGCCATCCAGAAAAATAGAAAACTGCAAGCCCAGATGACTTCAATGATGAAATCTACCAAATACTTAGGGAAGAAATACCAGTTCTGTACAATCTCTTCCAGAACACAGAGGAGGGAAACATTTTCCAACTCAATTTTATTTGGCCAGTTGTACCAGATAACAAAATCAGACATCTTAAGAAAAAGCAGTTCTTTAAAACATTGTCTTTATCTGTTACTATCTTTAGAGTTAGCTATTGTTTTTACATGAAATAATGGTAACTGGTATATTTCTTCCCTTTCACTTTTCCAGTTTGTTTCTTTGGGGATATACCAACACTGATAAATTCAATTAAGATACCACCTCTCCATTTACATAGATTTCCATTCTATTCAAGCCATTTTTGTTCCTCAGGTCCCTTTATCACTTTGGATGAAAAGATCATTGCATTGCATTGCAAGCTATTTCATGAATGTCTTGATTGGTCTGATTGTATTAGCCACTCTTAAAATTATAAAGAATGCCCCCAATATTATTCTTCCCTGTGTGGAAAATATAGTTGCTATCAAAGAGAAACAAGAATGCATTAAAGTAAACTACTTCTAATTAGGAATGCCTGACTTTCATTAACTGCATTTCATTGTAGTAGCTGTTGTGTAAAACTGAACGTGTCCTTTTTATGCAAATGACATTTGTATTTAGTGTACCAAATTGTTAATCTAACTTTTTTAATATAGTTTACACAAATGCTTTCAAAGATGGCATTAGCCTTTAAAGTATGAACAATGTGTGACTAGGTTATTGTTTATAAAGAGAAGAGACTTTGTAATTAAATCAAAGTATATAGTAGATTCTCAGTGACCATTATATATTACCTTTAAAATTCGACAGAGTAAAACAGGTTCAGTCATGAGAAGATGCTTGAAAAACATAGTGCAGTGGCTATAAGTTTTATTTCATCACTTAATCAATCAGTTATTTTGGATGAATGACATACTTCAATTTTATACTGCTTGCACTTTATTTTGCACAGACATTTCATTAATTATTACTTCAATTTGAGGGGCAACCCTTCTGAATACAGCTTTCAGTCTGGACCAAACAGTTTGTCATGGCAATAAATAATTATGTATTTAAGAAAAACCAATTTTTGTGTTTGACTTAATGTATTCTACATTTAGGAAATGATACATTCTTGTTCAGTTTACCAAAATAGGTTTTATAAACTTTTGTTTTCCTAATAGTGAAACACTGTTACATTCATGTTGCACAGCTGTTTACGAACATAACTTTTATTCATGGTGTAAACAGATACGATTACATGGAGAGATAGAGGATGTATAATATTAACAAGACTTAGAATTCAAAATCAATCATCAGAAGCTTGGAATATGTGTTATGAAAATAAGGAGTTTATTTTTCAAGGGAAAACCCTGGAGCTTTAAGCTTAAAATTAGAAAATTATTTGGCATCTTAGTTAAAAGTTAACTGAGTAGTCAACAACCTACGAAATAAAACCAATTCTGATCTGCTCAGTTTCTGAAAGTTAGACACGTGACAATACAATAATTTTGAAAACAAGTGTTAGCAAATAACCAGGTTACAGAGGGACTACACCAGTTGTTTTAAACAAATCTTTTCTGTTGACTATGAAAAAAATTGAAGTTAACTGAAATATTTCTAAATAAAAGTATTATGAAAATTCTGAAGTTCTAAGAAATAATTGTATTTTCTAAATGGAAGTCACCAAACCAAGGCCTATAGCCCAATTGTTTTTATAAACATCACTGCACTTTTTTGCCTATTTGTGCTGTAGGAAATTTCAAAGATCATGATTTGCCTGCAAAAGCCTAAGATATTTGGTATCTTGACCCTTTACAAAACAAATTTGTTGACTTCTATTTTACTTACTTCCTAGGGACAGACAGACTCAAATATGATTCTGGAGAACAAAGTTTAATGATCATCTAAAATGAAATATATGTAGAAAATTCAGAAATGTTCACTCAGAATACTCAAGATAAAATCTGTACTTTCCAAACATTTAATAATTTTACGTGTTTTACAGGCAAGAAATTTAAATTATACTTACTTTTGCTACTGATTTCATCCTTTCACAAAGATGATAAAAATACAGAAATAAAGCAGTTCTCTAAAACTAAATGAAAACATTACACTGGAAATTTTCTTTAGCTTTCAACTTTAATGGCTGAAGATACCACACAGACTTGTGCAATGTCATCATATTCGTATGTTCTCTTTAAGAATGTGTCTGTTAGTCTTAAGCCGGAGACGCTCTATTGAGAGAAAGATACGGGCTTCAATTTTCATTCATTGGTAATTTTCAGTGAAAATATGATTATGATATAAGACCATAAATTAGCACATACTACTGAAAAAGAACATACTTGTAGTCCTTGTACTGAAGACAGCAGAGTAAGGGCAAGGCAGAGAGAGGAACTTGGGTGCAGCTTTCCAAGCTGTCTTCCTGAAATACCGCACCAGTGGATAGAATTGGTATTATACATTTCCAAAACCAGATCCATAGTCCTTTCACTGCCAGAGGAATCAGAATAACAGGAATAAATCTTGTTCACTGCATAGGGAGATACTGTGCTATTTCTTTTACTTTTGTCAGTAAATTTGAGTGTCTAGGAGAATAAAAATGAGAAGACTGAAAATCTATTACATTAATTTCATTTCACCTCAGACAGAACAAGAAAATGAAGAGATGGCATCTCTCTTACACCTTAAAATGGATTCAGACTAATCTGCCTGCAGGAGATCAGTCTTCTGGTTCTATCATTGAGCCCTGGTTCCTTAGTGCTGGTTTGTTAGTGGCTTTGCCATATATCTGGGAAACTTACAGACACTGTGTCTCTTTGTTGCTATGTATTCTTACCGTTTCTATTGGCTACTCTATAGGACAGAGTCAAATAGCCTGGTCTAGTGCTTTCAATAACCTATGTTCCTTGAGCATTCAAGTAACTTAGAAAATACTATTCATGGTTGTTCACTGTTATTACTCACCACAAGAAAAGTTTTCTGCTTTTAAGAGACACCATTAGTACAGCTTAAACGTGGTAAGTTTTCAAATGTTTTAATGTAAGTATGTCAAGAGGCTGTGATAATGGGAGATCATCTCCTACTCTACCACCATTCATGGCTACTTTCAACTCTTTTAGTTCTCATAGTTGGCTCTATATTTTAAAATATTTATTTAAAGTTTAATTTACTGCCTTTTTAGACATATTGATGTTATACTGCTTTTATGTCTATTTCCCTAACAAACATTTGAAATACCCTCTATGTGCCAAAATCAGGCTAGATGCACTACATGAATTTTCTCATTAAATCCCATAAAAACCCATTAATTTGTATATGTTGTATGTATGCTGTGTCCATGTGTCTCTTGAGGCGGGGGTGTTGTGTCACATTTTTATAGATGAGGAAACTGAAGATCTAAGTGCTTTTAGAAACTTCCTTAAATCACCAAAAATTAAAGTGAATGCCAAAGAAATTAACTTAAAAAATTTATAGTGGATTGTCATTTGGTCAATAAACAGATTTGCTATACTTGAAAAAACACAAACAAAACAATCCCTACCACACCCAGATGCACAGTATCTTTGCCTTAGACGGCTTGTTTAGTGAGCACGTCTGATGTGGCAGGTGCTTCATTTACAAAGCTGGGTAAGTCGTGTCCCTTCTTTTGAATGATTCATAATCCAGTGAGGGAGAGACTAAAAATTACAGCAATATACAGATGTTACTAAAAAACTAAATTAAAAGTTGCTACCACAGAGGACTGATTGATTGTGCTTGGGAGGGTCTAGGTAGCTTCATGTAAGTAGGTATTTCTGTAATTTTGAAGGACGAATGTTTCTTATTTTTCCAATGCCAAAAAGTTGGAATGGATATAGAATTAAAAGGATTACATATTCATGCATAAGAGTTGAGATTTATCATTACAATATTATCAAAATATCCCTACTAATCCTATACATCAAATAGTAATACAAATACTAGCAGAAGTAATAGATGAGACTGGAATTTAATTCTAGGTGTTCCTTAATTCAAAGCCCATGTTCTTTGCTTCCTAAGAGGTAGATTATGTTTTCCCTTTACTATCACACAGTTCCAACCTGTGATTATCTCATGTTAAATTCATAAACAAGTTTTTGATTACTTAATATGAAATACAGCTCAGGTACAAGTATGCCCCAGAAAAATCTATCTCACTACTTTTAATCTATTATTATTCTAAAAGAGTCAGTTCATGTTTTAGTAATTGGACGTGTAAAACAATGAAAAGAACATGGATTTAGATCGATATCAAGTACATTTGGTATTTGGTTCAGCTTCTGGCCCCTTTTCTATCTAAGCTTGAGAAAGTCATTTAAACTTTGAGTTGGCTTTCTCTTCCATAGAATGTGAATAATTAAAATCTATCACATAAGGTATGATAAATGAAATAAGTACAGAAAATGCCTAAAATAGGTCTTCAAAAATATGTAATATACAGATACCAGGTAAAGTACTTTGCGGTATTTAGACAATATCAGAGAAAGCTATATATTAAAGGAAATTTAAAAAGACAGAATATTCAAAAGATCTAAAAGTTCTTTTTTGGGTTTAACATCCATCTACAAACACTGGCATTACCTGCAGTTTGTTATTTTACAAGTAATATGGAAAGGTTCTTCTAGGTTTACAGTGTCTGGGATTGCCTCCAGAGACAACCTAACATCTCCATAACCTGGAGCCTAAGAAAACAAGCAACATAGTTAAAATATATTTATTATAAAATCTTTCTCTCTTAGTGAAGATACATCAACACATTCACTCAATAGACATGGGTCTGCAAGTTGATGTTCTGAGAAAATAGTTCTGATTCATTCTTCCTTTCCCTCACTCTAACCTCTTTCTGTTACTACCTGTGGAACACCCTGAAGACCTGGACTGGTTTTGTTATAATTACTCAAGGTTCAGTAGAATTAAGATGAATTTTATAAGTAATTAGTAAAATTCCAGGGGACCTAATCTCAAAGGATTTTTTTCTTTTTGGTACTGAAGATCAAACTCGGATCCTTCTGCTTGCGAGGCAGGCAGTGGAGCCACTGAGCTAAATCCCCCGCCTGGGTTTTCTTTTAGTGGTAATGTAGCTTCTACATACATAAATGTAAACGGGCAATGTTCCTAAGGAGACAAAGGGAGCTCATTTTCGAATAAGACAAGAAGAAAATCGTATTTTTCTACAAGACACATGGGCAAGAATGGAGGAGAAACATCAAGACTTAGAACATGTCATGGCAGAATGATGACTAACTGATATATTTTAAAGTGGACTCAGTGATCACCTTTTTTTTGTTTGTTTGTTTTGTTTTTGGTACCAGGGATTGAACTCGGGTCCTTGCGCTTGCGCAGAGTGATCACCTTTTAAAAAAATCACTGCCTCAAACAGAAAAAGAAAATAAATTTTAGAGCTGGGCATGGTGGTATACACCTGTAATTCCAGCACTACAGAAGCTGAGGCGGGAGGATTGCCATGAATTCAAGGCCAGCCTGGGCTACATAGAGAGTTCAAGGCCAGTCTGAATTATATAGTGAGACCTTGTTTCCAAAAAATTTTCTTTCAGAGTATGTCAGAACAGGTAATATTCATTATAAAGGGAGAATCCTGAAGCAAATTCTCACTAGCAAAAGAAACAAAGGCCCAGCTATCCCTATTCTTGGGAGAAATTAGGTAAAATATCCCACCAATACTTACACAATAACTTTACTGCAGCTCACCCGAGCTTCAGATGTGTCAGATTTTTAACATTAAAAAAAGAAATGTATAAGAAATGTAGGTGAACACAGGAAGTCCAAACATTTTAGGACATTGCAAAAAAGAAAATCTTGATGCGACTGAAGTCATATATAATGAGAACAAATTACCAAAGGAAGGAACAATTGTTAAGCTGCTGTTTGATAAAGTTAAAAAAAACACATTTAAGGATAAACTAATATTTGAATACTTTTCATTCATTGCAATACTAGTTTTCTACCTAGAGATCAATGAAACTATTAGTCTTTTCTTCTCTAGTCATATTGTTGCCAGATTTTTAGTGATAGACCTAGGAACCCTTAAGTGCTTTAAATGCCTTCTCACCACATACCATACCCTCCACAGAAGATTTTCCTGACTCACCATTCTTTGAAGTTGGCTGGTTTGTAACCTTCCCCTTTCACCTAGATTTGTTTTCCATACTATATCCAATTTTCCGATTACTGTTACTCCTTTAATGATGCCTGCTTTTTCTGCAAACTCCTTCTTGGGTTTTAGACAATATAAGTACTGGCGTGTATCCATTGGCTGCAGATATGCTCTTGACCCAAATGTGGACACACTGAGAGGGGTAGAGATAGAGATAGGTGAAAATTCTTCAGCATCTTTTGAAAGACAAGCCATGGCTGTGATAGTTCCTTTTGGATAGAAACTGGGTGATTTAACATGCAAAGATCTAGAATACATGAGGTCAGAGCTCTCAACACAAATAAAAAAGACTTGTACTGAGTACTTATTCTTGTTTAATTTTTTTTCAGTAAACGTAGAAAATATTCCCCCCCCCCCAATTTTTTAGACAAGAATCTTGCTATGTAGTTCAGGCTGGCCTTGAACTCGCAGTGGTCCTCCTGCCTCAGCCTCCCTAGTGCTGGGATTACAAGTGTGCGCCACCGTGCCACCACAACTGGCTAACTTGGAAAATCTTGGACGTGCATCAGGTAAATGAAAAGTACAATAGGAATCAGAACCTTAAGTATCTTGTCCCTTTTCTCTAAAATTATTTTAAAAATAGAATAAGAAAAAAGGGTCGGGGATTCAGCTCAGTGGTTCCGCTGCCTGCCTCGCAAGCGCAAGGACAGGAATTCAATCCCCGGTACCGAAAAGAAAAGAGATACTTAAAAAAAAAAATTTAGTGCTATGGATTGGACCCAGGGTTTCACACATGCAAAGGCAACTGCTCTACCATGGAGCTACACTGAGAAGTACAATTCTAAACTAAGTAATGATTTTTAAAATAAACTAAAAGATCTGGAAAAGAACAGACAATTGTTTTCCTTAGTAAAAGAAGCTATGGACTTTTGTGTATGTAATTACCATAATATAACATAAACTTTTAAATTTTGATTAAGAAAATTAGGCAGTTTCCCCAGCTATTACCCCATCTATATTAATGTCAACACTACATTTATTTGTTCGTCCTTTTCTAAGTTAGTATAGGAAGACAAAACAATTAAAATAATCTATTCCTGCTTCCCCTCATTTTTCTTTTGTTACAGGATTTCTCTATGTAATATAGTTAAGCCTTAAAACTTGCACTCCTCCTGCATCAGCCTCCCATTATAGGACTGTGTCACTGTGCCCAGCTTAAAATTCCTATGTCTACTCCTTTTTTTCTTGAGTAGCATTTCTTTTTCAAACTCACATTCACCTAACCTGACTTGCTAGTCTTTGTTTCTATGTGGAGAGTGGGATGAATAGGCAGAGCTAAGGTATTTGTAGGAGAGTGAAACCACTGTTTACAATATAGTCAAAACACACAGTATGTATAACACATACAGTCAACTAATGTAAACTATTAACTTAAAAGACGAGTATCAGCAGGGCTTGGTGGTGCAGGCTTGTAATCCCAGCACTCTGGGAGAAGTTAGCCATTTAGGAGAATCCAGTGTCCAATTAGGAAATAATAAATGGGATGGGAATGTAGCTCAGTGTGAAAGCCTTGGGTTCAATGCCCAGTACTGCAAAAAACAAAAAAACAAAACAAAACAAAATCAATATGAGTCCATTACTTGTAGTAAGAGAACTCTTTCATATGAATTTTTCTGTGACTTAAAACTTTTTTTAAAAAAGCAAAGTGTTTCCAGGCATGGTGGTAAAAACCTGTAATTCCAGCACTTTGGGTGGCTAAGAGAATCACAAGTTCAAAGCCCAGCCTGGGCAACATAGTGACTTAGTGTCTTGGTTACTTTTCTCATTGCTAAGACAGAATACCCAACACTGAAAGTTAAAAAAGGAAAGGTTTATTGTAGCTCATAGTTTGTAAAAGTTTCAGTTCATAGTTGGCTGGCTCCAAGGCAGGGCGGCATGGCAAGGAACACTGTATAGGAGAAACAATTCATGGCAGGCAGAAGCAGCGAAGTAGCGAAGCATCAACAGCAGCCTGCATCTCCCTTTTATTCCTTCTAGGCTACCCACCCTTTGGGTGTGGCCACCCACACCCAGAGCTATGCCAAACCAATCAGTGAACTAATTTAATAATCACACACCTTAATCCCAGCATCATACACCCTAGATCCAGCCTTCTCTGAAAAGTCTCATCTGTGACCACATGAGCTTTAGGGGACGTCTAGACACAAGCCATAACACTTAATGAAACCCTGTCCCAAAGTAAAAAATAAAATTTTTAAAAAGTGCTAAGGATGGAGCTCAGTGCAAAGATCCTGGGTTTGATCACTGATACTGTCAAAAATCAAAACCCAAAAAACCCTACTACCACCAACAAAAATCCCTAAAGTCTTACATAAAATAAAATAAAATAAAAAAAAATTCAAGAGTAATGGAGGTTAAAAAAGCATGCATCTTTTACAACAGTATTTCATAATTAATACTTACCATTCTCCAGCTTGGTTGACTGAATTTAATTCTGTTACACTGTACATTATAGATGGCTCTAATGACACTTTCTCCATGAACATGGGTGAGGTTGTAATATTCTGAATCTGGGCTTCAAGAAATACTTCATCAGTCTGATGAAAAAAAATCCACCAAAATGTCATGGTACTTAAAATATTTACCTCAACAAATATCTATGTGAAGAAAAATTATTAACCACCAATGTGATTAGTTCATGCCTGAAAATCAAAGTTATCATAATTAATGCAAGAAAAGAAATCTTCATCTTAACATAATTAATAGGCAAAGTCAAGTGTTAGTCAACTGAAACCTTGGTCAAACAATGGATGTGGGATAAGAATGTATTAACATCCAAAAATATTTGCTTAACTGGAATGTGATTCACAAAACTCCTAAATCTACTAGTAAGATGCTATGACTAACTTTAGTATGATGAGTATACCTCTACATCTATAATTTATGTTATGATAAAATAATTATATATTCATTATAATATTACAGTATAGTATGATTTCAACTGTCATACTACTTCAACTTAGGTAGTCTAGTACTATTAGTACTATCAATAATCTATTTTATAATCTGGACATTAGTGATTTCTTGGTGCATTTTAAATGTATATTCAGGGCTAAAAAAGAGTAAGTCACCGGGCATAGTGGCACATGCCTGTAATCCCAGCACTGAGGAGACTGAGGGAAGAGGATCACTGCCAATTTTAGGCCAGCCTTGTCTACATAGTGAGTTCAAGGTCAGCCTCAACTGAATTACATAGTGAGACCCTATCTCAAAAAGCAAACAAAGAATATGTGAATTGTACTGATAGTCTCAGAGCTTTTAAGTCAAGCAAAAATATTTAGTAGCTTTAGTGATAAAGATTTAAAAACTGATGTTATTCAATAATAATTCAACTACTGGGTAATTTAAATAATTTTATATGAATTGGCCTGGTGTGGTGGCACACACACTTGTAATCCCAGTACTCAAAAGAGGGTGAGGTGGAAGGATCTCCTCGAGTTCAAGGCCAGCCTGAACTACATAGTGAGACGCTGTCTCAAAAAAACAAAACAAACAATTATTTAAAATAAATTTTTGAAGTTTCCTGGTTATTTATGCTAAAAAATGTGTTCTTCTGCCTTTTGGTTATTATTTTCTTCGTATTACTGAAAAAATAACAGCTAACTTCTTTTTTTTTTAAACAAATCAACATAAAAAATGACATAACAGGAGTATCCAAGAACCACTTTTTCATATACATATATATTTAAAACATGTGTGTGTATATACACATATAGATACACAGGTAGACAGACAGGGGTAGCTGGATACCCGTCGGTAATGCATTCCGGAACTTGTGATGAGTGCCAAAACCCATGAATTGCAAACAAATTTTCCCCCCAAAGAAATAATGTGATTATAAATGATCTGTGAAAGCTCCTTAGAACTTTCACATTTTACTGGGCTAATATTAAGTAATGAGGTTGATTTGTAATACAGAATTTTAAAAGTAAAGAGACATGTATTTAAAAAGCAATTTTTTACATCTTCAATTCCTGGCCCAGTGCTGAAACATATTTTTTCCTGTCAAAATGTGACAAGTAGCAGGTAAGTTGACTTCTGAACCCAGAGAGGACTGAGGTATGCCTGTGTACACACACACACATATACACACACACACACACTCTCACACAAATAACACAGAAAATAAACATCACCTAAAAATTGGGGATTTACAGGCTTTTCATATCACTAAAGGCAGAAAATGGAAACTGTGTACAAAAATATAATGAAGGTATAATTTAGTATGCCTAAAATAAAGCAGACTCTCAGTGCTCAAATGGTAAGTGCTCAAATGAAAATAGAAATACAATGATTTATCAAAACAAGATACTATTTAAGGCATTATTGTTACTTTAAAAAAAAATAGGTAATTTATATCCCATAAATCCATTGCTTTTAAAAACAACCACAGACCCACATTTCCATTTAAGAAATACAATTTTCTGCATAAATTTAGGAAGAGCTTGGGTAAAATGATAAAGAAACAAGCAACATAATGGAAAATCACGTTAGTTTGAACAGTTAGTAATAAGTAATTTGACGTTTGAAAATAAAGACAAGAATTTAGTGCTAAGGTTGTGGACATTATTACATAAAATATATAAGCGAATGCTTACTGTAAATAGAAAATTGAAAAAAAGATTTTAGCCAACTTGGAAAAACTTGCTTTTCTTCTCCTTTCATTTATCAAAAGGCCCTCTTTACCTGATCCAGAATTAAAACTAAAACCACTGCCTATACATCTGAAAATGAATTTTATAGTCTACTTAAATAATTGAAGGACAGGAGGGTATTCTACAGCAAATTGTTTAAAGTCCCAGTTATTTTAAATAAGCTTAACATGCTTCTTTTAAAAACACCTTAAGAAAAAAACACTAACACTGTGCACAGAATTGTTTCAACATGACAAGTGAACCTTTGATCTAATTTTTCCTACATAAGACAATTGATATAAAAATATATTCAAATTATTTAGTTTTTTCTGAATTCACATAGGTGATATTCACAACTAACTGTTTTTCCACTATGTTTTGTAGATAGATTATTAGGCAGAGTCAAAAAGTGGTAAGAAAAGGATATAAATTTATAATAAAAAAATCAAATTACCACAGAATTGAGGTCACTCTAATGGAAAAATAAAAAAGAATAATTAGAAAAATCAGAGTTAAATGTTAAAGAAAAAGAATAACTTAAAATGCATTTCTGCATTTTTTAACTTACTAAGACAGATTAGTAAACAAGAAAGTAAACAGGAAGCAACATAAAGAAATATGACAAATTGCTTCTCTAAAAGGTGAAACTTCTAAGATTAAATGACAATGGAATAGAGAAGAATACTACAGCTGAATACTCAAAGAGAAGAAAGTAGTGAAGGGTGTATTTTGGGGCAGTTACCTATATGCCTTACTAGTTCTCTAAATTCTTTGCTATATTGTAATTCTTCATAAATAATTGGAATGGATATATACTATTCCCAGACTGAGAATAGACATATATTATACAGCTTTTCTTACATTTATATAATAATGGAATCCTTTCTAAAAAGAGTTATCTTGAGTGATTAGAGTTCCCTGGACCACATTTCCAGAAATGCTGGACTAGACCACATTAGACAATTGAAGGTTTGCCTTTCTGTTTATAGATTTCAGTCTTTTTATATTTTAATCTACTTATTTATCAAGGGCAATGTCAAGTGTGACCTCCTTCATTAAGTTCATAGTTGAAAATAATTTTCTACCTGTGTTCCCACAACATGAGTACAAGTCACAATTTGGTGTGCATGTAATGTTAATATTGTAGTTATGTCAATCTCCAATGGATGAAAGTTCTCTGAGGAATGAGAACATGAATCTTGGCTTTTTTCACATATTAGTAGCATTATCAAACACAACATCAAAAACATGTTTGAGATGTATATGAGGCTACGAAGAGTTGTTACATGATCACTATAGCAGAGTAATGAGAGAATCTGCTTCGTACTACTGGCTTAGCACCATTTGTTTTCCTGACAGGTAATATTGAGAATCTCAGAGACCCTAAATGTTATTTGTTCACTCTTGGTTTTTAAAGACATACTTATTTTCTAAAGTTCAGAATTTTAGTAAGCATTTTTTAGTTGAAGTTTGTGGGGCAAGTTTAAAGATTATATTGAAATATAATATTAACTGAAAAAGGTAACAAACAAAATAGTCACTATGATTATCAAAACAGAATGTTATATATAAATGTATAAAGACTAAAAGAATATAGATAGATTAATGTAAAAATTACTTGGTGTGGTGGAAATGTGGTTTTTTTTCTTCAAGGACAGCATGTCACTTCTGTAATATTTAAGAATAACTAGCCATTTGAAAAACTATTTGCAAATCACTCTGAATATTAGTATTTAAAACACTACTTACAGATATGTATATGTCCTATATTTTTAACATAGAAAACCTAATGCAGTTTTAATATGTTCCTCCCAGGTACCAATTACAGAAAATCACCCTCACAATCCCCTTTGCTTTTAAATGTCTTAATATATATGTTCTAACAGAATAGTTAACATTCTTCCCTCATACTATAAATGAAACCCTTTTCAGCAAAATGATAAATTAGACCATTTAATATTCACCAGAGTGAACAGCTATATTAATCAACAATATGTTACTAATAACAAAAAAGGTAAAATGAAGATGTAGTATTCCAAATCACCAATCCTCAAATAAAAACATCAACTCTTTAACCATCCAGTAATCTCTCTGTACCCTCTCATCAAATATGTATGCTCTTCACAATGTACTTAACATTCCACATCATTTGTAATTCTGTTTTGGAATGCCTTCATCACTCTGACACTTGTGTGTTCACAACATGTATTCCTTCTAGACCTCAATGCAGTTCTGCTTTCTCTTCCATGCAGTTTTTATAGATCTCTCCAAGTTCTCATTCTAAGAGCTTTTTTGTGTGTTGGTACTGGAAATCGAACTCAGGACCCTGTGTTTGCAGGCAGGCCCAGCGCCACTGAGCTACATCCCTGGCTCATGCCAAGATCTTGTAGTTCATGTTTTTTTATATCATTCTCAAGACTCACTGTGTACTGTCCTGGGTAATTTTATTACCATATGCATTTTTATTTTCTTCTAATAGGTCTTGGCTTCACAATAGGTTCCTTCATTTTGACAGCTAAGTAACTCTAGTTGTTAATACAAACTTTGCACTGAATGAAATCTCAAGTGCTGATGGGTAAAACTACCTATTGAATTTGACACATGACTGCAAATTTTTGATTATATGGTTTCAAAGTAATAGAGATATAATTTTCTTCCAAAAATACTATATTTGAATATTTTTGAATTTGTCACTGTGGCATGAAACATAAGTTTTGGAGACAAAGGGGCTGTCAAGAGATCTGATTTGCTGGGCATGGTGGTGCAGGCCTGTAATCCAGCACTCAGGAGGCTGAGGTAGGAGGATTGTGACTTGGAGGCCAGTGTAAGATACAGAATGAGTTTAAGGTCAGCCTGAACTATGAAGCAAGCCTCAGCTAACAAAACAAAACAAAACAAAACTCATTTTCTATAGCTCTAGAATATAGATTTGGGGGAAAAAATTCCAAACAATAAATACTTTTTTCTACGTCTGCTTTATCTCTTTTGTTAAGATGCAAGATAGCTTATTTTCTTTTTTTATTTTTTTCTAGTGCTGGAAATTGAATTTAGGGCCTTGCCAGGCAGATGTGGCATCATTGAGCTACATCCCCGTTGATTATCTTCTATTCTAAAAGGGATTTTTTCTCTATTTTTGCCAATGTTGGGTCTCACAAGGAGATTTTCAAGCCATTTAGCAGACTCAACAACCTAACTCTGGCTAGCACACTGACTTCCTAGGAAAAAATTTAATGTACTGAGCTTCACTTGTCACTGTTTTTCCCTCAGAATATTAAATCTAGCTTTATGACTTCAATTTCTGTAATATATGAAAACAGTGTAAAAATTCAACAGATTGTGTTTTTAAGCAATAACAACACCATTAAATGAAGGTCATTTAATGAAAGAGGTGAATGCCTTATAATGCTAACAATGAGAACAGAAATCAAAACATACTGATTACATGTAGGTTGAAGATAGCAGATTAAAATGAAATTACTAAAATTTAATTATTTATAATTGAAATTTGTGCTCATTTTTCTTCACAATCATATCAGAAATTTATTTCATTATGGTAAGAAATGTAACATCTCATGTTTTTAGATTATTAACATTTAATATTATTTAGATTAATAACACTTAATTTAGAATCCCATTCAATGCCCAATACTTACCTCTGCATTATAAAATTTAGTTTTCACATCCAATGGTTTGAGAACCTGGGTAGATAAAGCATATTAATCAGGAAATTCCTATAATTTGACTATTAATCTTTGTTGATTTGTTTCAGATGACAGGCTTAAATTTGTTTTTTTTTTTTTTTGGTACCAGGGATTGAACTCGGGACCTTGTGCTTACAAGGCAGCCGCTGGAACCACTGAGCTAAATCCCCGGCTGACAGGCTTAAATTTGTCAAAGCTATTTTCCAATTTAATTATTAAAAGACTTTTTAATGGGTATGCAATATACTTGGGCAAAAAAGAAACCCTAAATGAACTTTTTTTGAAAAAGACTATCATCATTTCTGGATTGGGTGATAGTTACATGGGTGCTGTCTCCTAATATTTTATTAAACATATTTTACATATTTTATATGCATATTTCATAAAAACTTCAAAAATCAAATGTTTTATTTTGTTTTAAAAGGCATTCATATTACCGATGCAGCAAAAGACCAGTGAAGTTATTTTCCTATTGACAGTACTTTTTTTCCCACTTTTAGAGTAATGAAAAAAATACATATGTAGCTTCATATGTAGATCTATAAGTATATTGCTATATGTGATATTCTTTTTTTTGGAGACAAGGTCTCTCTGTATAGATCAGGCTGGTCTTGAATTCACTATGTAGCCCCAGGCAACCCTCCTGCCTCAATCTCCTGAGTGCTGGGATTACAGGTGTGCACCACCACATCGGCTATATGTGGAATTCTTATATTAACACTTATACATACATTAGTTAAACCAGAGGTTTTGATGAGTGTTAAATATCATGTCTTAATACAAAATAGTATCTAAAATTCCAGTGATTAAAAAAATAAAATAAAATTCTAGTGATTCATGGAGTCCTTCAAATGAAAGTTTGATTTACTAACCCCAGAAAATAATCTTTCATTTAAATATTTCTTTAGAAATTTAATTCTATGTACCCACTTCTTACCTGGGCTTTAGGCTTATCCCTGGTTCTAAAAGTTTTGTCTGCTTTGCTATGCTATGAAAACAAGATAATTTTAAACTTCCAGTAAAAATTCATTTGATTTCAACAATATTACACTGGAGATGAAAATTTTTTTATTTTAACTTAATTTTAGTCTGATATATTGGGTGTGATGTACACCTGTAATTTCAGCACTTGAGAGACTGAGGCAGGAGGACTACCTGGAGTTTGAGGCCAGCCAAGGCTACATAGTGAGTTCAAGACCAATGTAGCGGGACCCTGTCTCAACCCCTGCCATCTTGGGCTGGGATGCAGCTCAGCAGCACAGTATCTGACTGGCAAGTGCGAGGCCCTGAGTACAATTTCTGGTAACAAGAAAAAAAAAAAGAAAGAACAACCCAACACCCCCCAAAAATTTAGTCTGACATTGGATTACTAGTAATATGATGAATCCATGTAATGAGGTATTTGGTTCATTTGGAGCTTGTTTTACTCACAGAGAGACAGGAATAACTATACTTTCAAGAAAATAAAAGGAATCTAAAAGCTATTAATCATTGCCATATTCAGTACCTGAAATTTGAAGAATTTTCTAAAATACATTTTTTCTCCACCCTGAGTTGTATAACTCACGGCACATACCAAGCTGAAACAGAAAGATATCTTAATGATTTGCAGTCAATTTCAATTTCATTTTTCAGTAGTAAATACAACACATTTCAATTTCATTGACAAATGCGGAAAAAATTTCTTATCTATGATGTAAAACTGTAGCCAAATGAGATTAGAGCAGGAAAAATAATTCCAGTAGATATGGATATAAATACATGAACAAGAAAGCTTTTGACTAGTAAAATGAGATAGAATTTTTGGAATAGGAATAGCCATGTAGTTGAATGTAAAAGTAAGTTCATCTAAGGTAGATTTTTAAAGAAAATTTTAGGACAGACTTCTTAATATAAATACATTGGAAAAATCATTTAAGAAACCTTAAATTGAATACACAGAAAACACTAAAACAATTAACAGAAAACAAACTTGGATAAAATGCTAGGGGTTGTATGGGTGTATGGAATTTGGAAAACAATTTTTTGGTAAAGGGCCTTTAAAAGAGCAGATCCATGCTAAGTAATTATAAGGAGGTATTTATTATTGTTATTTATAACAGCAAAAAATTAAAAATAATCTAGGTGTCCAACATTAGGTAAACAAAGCACACACTACAAATGTGTAAGATGCAGTCACTGAGAAAGTCATGTTCTCAAATGTACTGATATGGCAAAATGGTCACAGTGAATTGAAAAGGATAAAACCATAAAAGTAATATAATCAAAATTTTATAAAACATTAAATTATATATACTGTATTTGTTGTGTATGTGCATATAAAAAGATCAGAAGGAAAGATATTAACATTGTAGTTGTTGTTGTACTAAGTGGTAACATTATTAGGTACTTTAATTTCCCCTTAACATTTGTGCCTGGTAGTAATCTAGGGGAACTAGAGGTATGTTGATCAAAACACTACCTGTTCTCTAAGTGCTCACAGTAAGAAGTACTGGAGGTTTTGAAAGTATATTCAAATTTGAGTTCTCTGTCCAGTAAATGAGCTGTTTAGTGTTCTAAGAGTATCAGCTCCGGGGTCTGGGGATGTAGCTCAGTGGCGCCATTGCCTGCCTGGCAAATGCAAGATCCTGAGTTTGATCCCTGGTACTGGCACACAAAAAAAGTATAAGCTCTGTAAATGAGGATTTTATACATTTATTATTATGTCAGTAAATTCAACAAATACTGACCACTGTTCTCTGTTAGGTCCTGGGGATATAGCAGGCTTCATGAACCTCACATTTTAATGGGGAAGGCAGCACTCAGTAACTAATTGGAAATATAAAATCAGTAACTAATTGGAAATATAAAATCAGTAACTAATTGGAAATATAAAAGATACAAACAACTTTTAAGTTGTAGGTACTTTACAAAAGTTAGGAAAGCCTCTTTGAGAAAGTCATGCTGCTGCTGAGATATGAAAAAAGTTAAATGGGGCTGGGGATTTAACTCAGTGGCACTGTGCCTGCCTCACAAGCACAAGGTCCTGAGTTCGATCCCTGGTACCAAAAAAAAGAAAAAGGTAAATGTAAATTATGTAAAATGCCATAGGCATTCCTCTGTATGGGAATATATTTCAAGCTAAACAGTTGGGAGATAACAAAAGTCCAACATAACTGCTGAGAGAAAGGAAAATATGACAAAAGGTTAGTAAGAATTAGGCTGAAGGAGAGCTTTGAAAAATATATACAAAGCCAGAATTTCCAAAAGGCAATAGGAGGTCACCAAAAAGGTAAATGACTTACCCAAGATCATGTAATTATGATATCTTGGAAATCTGAACTCCAGGAATGTTTAACTCTGAAGCTCAGATCAATTACAGGAAAAAAAAAAAGGTGTATATATATACTGTACAGTAAAAATTACCTATAGCAGAGCTTTCCCCCAAAATTAATTGATCAAAAAATTAGCTATTATTTGTACTTAATATATTACCTACGTTATATGCTGTAATGGACACAAAAAAGAGAAGCAAGAGATGATAGTGGAGATAAAGCAAAGGAGATAACATATTTGTCTTTCTTACTCCAAGAAAAACAGAGCACTCATATTTAAATACATAACCAGGCCAGGAATATAAAATACAAAGTTTGAGACTGTTTTTCACATCTTGTCTTAACTTTGGTTCTGTATTTCTGATTTCCCAAGCAGTGTAAGTACTCAATTAAATATAACACCAAAAAAATTGTCAATTTAAAAACAAATGCTATGAAGAGCAGTTGCTGGCATTTTAAAAAGTAATAAAATATTCTTTTAGTCAGTGTTGAGTTTTAAACATTGACTGGGCTTTTAATTTTCAGATAAGATTGTTGATGCAAAAATTAAACTGGCCAGGGATTTAGCTCAGTGGTTTCGCCGCCTGCCTTGCAAGCGCAAGGGCCCGAATTTGATCCCTGGTACCAAAAAAACAAAACAAAACAAAAATTAAACTAACTACGTAATGCTAAGTTTGATTTATTTTTCCTATAAAACAAACATTTTGTTTAAAATTTGTTTCTAATAAACATATAAAAATAGAAAATAAAATTCCTTTTGAAGTGAATTCTTGGGTATAAGGATAAGTAGACAACAAGAATGTCAAGTAAAGGCATAAGTGACAGTCTTTGAGAACAGCTAAAATTAATCCTTACATATGTGTTCCAATTTCCTTTACTTCGTGGTGTATGACATCATCAATACAACAATCAGGTTTAAGTTCAGCCACTGCAGCATTGGAAGCTGAAAGATTTAAACGCTGAGAACTTGTCTGAAGATCAGCCTTGAAAGAAAGGGGGGAAGAGATCCAAATGAGATTGGTTATTATAGAGTATGGATGGTTTTGGTTTGAAAGAATAGGGGGGATAAGAACAAGGAAGTAGGAATGAAAGGAGAGCAATACTTTTCTGTGTAAACCTTTCTGTATAGTTCTGATGCTTAGACCTATGGCAGTGCCCCCCCACAAAGAAATAATTAACCTGCAAGAATTTAAAATGGAATGGATAGTTAATATATGAACCTAACTATTACAAATGAGAAACACAAGTACAGTAAGGGAAAGAGAAAGAAAAAAAAAGAATTAATCTAAGTAAATTTAGAACATAAAATCCTGGCTGTAGTCTCAGTCAAAAGACAAAAACGGTATACAAATATTGTGCTCAATTGTTGTATTTGTTTTCATACGGGTTGAGGTAACAGTTCTGAAACTGTTGTATTAGAACTAAACAAAAAAATAAGGAAATGAGGAATGTTGCAAATGAAACGTTTGGTGTTACATTAGAATCATATAGTTTGAACATATAGTTTTAAAATATATATGCAGATGAATTTTACCAGAACAGATTAATGTATGTGTGTATAACACTGAAAGATAAGTAATCATTTAAAGCAATATTAGATGCCAGAGACAAATTAATTTATTCATAGAGAATGACAGTAATATCACCAATAAAATACTACTTTCTCTAAAGTAGCACTTTCTCCTTGCCCAGTTATTCTCATTATATTCCCTATTTCCTTTTGATCATCTATTACTTTGTCTTAAACAGTAGTCTCTTTTCATCTTAGCTACTATTGCATTCAACTGTTACTTCCTTTGAAATATTTATCATAATGTATAATTACCTCATTTATGATTTTGTTCACTTGTTTCTTTCTGTCTTTCCTACTAGAAAGGGCAATGCAAGTAAGTAGTATTATCCCTACTTTATATACAACGAAAAAAAGGCACAGAAAAGTAACAGCTTCCCCAAAGTTATACAACTAGTAGGTAATGAAGCGGAGGTTCAAAATTTCTTAAGCAGTTTCAAAATTAAAGAGGAAAAAACTAAAAAAAGGAAATATCCAACCCAAAGGTTTTTCTGTCCAAAATGGTCTCTCAGTTTCTTACATCAAGTTCTTCTATCCCATTTTCTGTTAACATTAATCAAAATTGTGATGCAATTTACATATGGCCAAATGCTTTTGCCTTTATCTTTTCTGACTATTATAAATAGTGCTGTATTGAATATTTATTTGCAAATGACCAACCATATGCCAGTGCCTGTTCTAGGAGTTAGATATCTCAGTGAAAAGAAGATTAAAATTCCTACCCTGTTTTTATCTCTGGAAAGGAAGTGAGGAAGACAACTGACACTATACAAAGACTATTACAGGATGTTAGCAACTAGTAAATGTCTTGGGAGAAAAATGGCAGAATAAAGTGATAATGAAGGGCTGGCTTGGGATAAGCAATGTAGTTTAAATTGCATGGTAGGCTTTACTTTGTAAACTGATTTTGGAAAGAATAAGATTTATAAAATGGAAACAAAGTCTATGTAAATAGGGAAGGGTGGAGAGGGTGAAGGGCGCACAGGTAATGGGGAAAAAATAAGACCCAAAATACATCATGTACAGGTACAAGCACCCAATGATAAATGTAAATGTATTGTTTACCTAAAATGTACCAATAAAAGAATTTAAGCAAAAAAAAAAAAAGAAAAAAAAGAGTAAGATTTATACAGGCAGGGCCAGGGATGTGGCTCAGTGGCACTGCGCCTGCCTGGTAAGTGCAAGATACTGAGTTCCACCCCCAGTACCACCGGAAAAAAAAAAAAAAAGATTTACACAGGCAGAGAGGAAAAGAGAAAGGGGGGATTATTTCAAGTAAGATGAATAAAGCTGGGAAAACATAACTGTGAAAGCTCAAGATGTCTTTAGAAGCCATGGAGCTCTTGGTATACTTAAGGGGTTCATGTCCATGAGTAGAGGAAAAAAAAAAAACATCTAGACTAAGCTTCAAGACAACAGAGAAGCCTTTATATAACCACAGTATGTAGAATCATGCCTGGCATACATGTTTGTTGAATGCATGTTTGAATGATTAGTTTAGACCAGTGATTCTCCAAATATGGTTCTCAGGCCAACAGAGTCAGTGTCACCAGGGAATATGTGAGAAATGTAAATTTCTGGGAACTATGCCAGATCAAATGAATTGGAAACTCTGGGAATGGAGCCCTGGGGGTTTAAACCAGATGATTTTGATGACTTCTAAAGGTTGTGAACCACTGGTATAGACCATAAGAATTATTATTTTTAAAAGTTTATAGTACACTAATTACACAGTATTTTCTCAATAGAATCCATTTCGTTTGGTAGCATGCTAAGGTTTTCAGACTTGCTTCTGAGAATTTTTTTTGTGGTAGTGGGGACTGAACCCAGGTCCTTCATTTTACACTGAGCTACCCACAGAGCCCTTTTGTATTGTTTTATCTTGAGACAAGGTCTTGCTAAGTTGTTCTTGAACTTGTGATCTTCCTGCCTCACCTCAGATTGCTGGGATTACAGGAGTGTTCTCCATGCTCAATTGAGATTTTTTTTTTATTAAGATGACAATAAAGAAATAAAAACTTCAGATCATAGTCTACTTCCACAATTTCAAAGTTCAAAGAATAAAAAATAAAAGTTTTTTGATGGCAGAACTCTGGTTATCCAAAGAATAACTGCGAATCTTCCAAGATATCCTCAGGAAAATAAAAACAACAAACAAAATTATACAAAACTTTTATGTCAGCATAACTAGAAGGCAGCAAACATCCAAATTTCATATTACAGGCAAGCAGAAAAATATCAAACTGTCATGCTTTTGCCATGGCTATATAATTAAGAAATCTACTTCATCCAACAAAAATCCAAATAAAAAATGGGGAAAATGGGAAAGGGAAAGAGGAAAATAGCACAACCAACAGGTCCTATAGTAAGAAGCTAAGTAAGAACACAGGTAAGTGGGAAGGCAGGTATTTTGCATTATAAAAGGAAGAAATATTGGGGGTGGGTATATGCAAAGGGAAGTAATCCCAATGCTCTGGGAGGCGGAGGCAGGAGGATCCCTGTGAGTTCCAGGCCAGCTTGGGCTACATATTGAGTTCAAGGACAGCGTGAACTACATAACAAAACCCTGTCTCAAAAAACCACAACAATCGCAAGGACCCTAGTTCGATCCCTGGTATCAAAAAAAAAACCCACAGCAAGTTTATGTTCATACCACCCTGAATGTACCTGATCTTGTCTGATCTCAGAAGCTAAGCAAGGTCAGGCCTGGTTAGTACTTTGATGGGAGAAAGAAGAAGTAGGAAAAAAAGCCACAGCAAATACGACATATTGTACTTAATAACTGTAATATGAAATAATGTGACATCAATGAAACCAGGCACATCAAACTTATCAATACCCTTATCTACTCTCATTAAATGAATTTTGTTTGCTGTTACAAGATCCCATACATATCCCTGTGTCTCTGCCTGATTACTATGTTCTCTACATCTTAGTATTCTTTGAAGATTTTCTTGCATTTCCTCTTCTCCAATAAGTCTTCTGACTGATACAATCTAGTATATATACTGCCTGAGCACCTGACCGATCGATACAGTCTGCAGTGATTTTTCCCCGACTCTTTCAAATATTATGTTAACCACACATATTACAAAACTGTTTACTTCTCACTAGTCATCTTTTTTATCCAAGCTATCATAAACCTTGAGAATAAGGAAATTTGTTTCTATGTAAGTATTTTATGCCTTTAGGCATCTTTCAATGTTCATCAGTGACAATTAAAAATTCCAGCATCAAACACGCATTTTAAACCAGGAGTGGTGACAAACATGAGTAATCCCAGCTGCTTAGGAAGTTCAAGCAGCCGGATCAAAACTTCGTGGACAGCCTCGGCACTTAGTGAGACTCTGTCTCAAAATAAAATAAAAAGGGGTGGGACCGAAGTTCAGTGGTAGATCATTTGCCAAGCATGTTCAAGGCCCTGGGTTTAATTCCCACCAGTATCATGCCAAAAACCCCCCCAAAAACAGAACAAAAAACTCCAGAAAAACAAACAAATAATTTTAATGAAGTTTTTAAAACATAAAATACACAAAAATGTCACTTACTTTTACCAGTATATCTTTTACAACTTGATTACTATCATTATGAACACTGATATAACTGGAAAAGGTCTCTCCCAAAAATATATTCCTGTAAAATAAAGTAAAATTATAAGCAGAAATTCATTCAAGTTTTATCATAAATATTGTGTTTGAGCACTGCTTAATAACTTCAAGTGTAGAAAACTTACTAAAGGATAGAAATCAGGTGAAAGCTGCTTCAGCATCCTTTTATTTATAAGAGGCTGTTCATTCATTTACCTTTTCAATTTCAAAATAATAATTCATTTCAGACTTATATCTGAAAAGGCTAGAAAATGTCAAGTTTCCATTTTAAAATAACTTATGCTCTGAATGTAGAGAAGACCCAAGCTAATTCATCTTGGAGTATTTTTACCAATTTATTTTTCTAAATTATTCTAATAAAAATGACCAGTGGCGTTATTCTACAGTTTTATACTTAATACATGATTAATTTTCAAGACACTAATCAATGAACACATTCTATAAGTCTTAAAAAAAACCCTGAAAAGTTCTTTTTCTTTTTTTTGATACTGGGGATCGAACTCGGGTCTTTGCGCTTGCGCAGCAGGCGGTGAAACCACTGAGCTAAATCCCCGGCCCTGAAAAGTTCTTTTTTGTCTCAAATTTTCTCAGTTGCAAAAAGAGTGGAACCAGGAATGTCCACCTCAACAATAATCCAGAATAAGAGACAGCTAAGAATAAGAAAAGAAATAAAAAATCTAGAGCTCCTAGTTAGCTGACAAATCTGATGTCTGTTGGGAGAAAGCTGTGAGGATGTCTAAAGAGCTGTTTCTGAAAAAGACATTTAGGTAAAATAAGTTAAAATAAAAGGCATACATAGTCATTTAAAAATAAGATCTAAAGAAAGCTAAAATGCGGTCATTCTAGGAACCACTACTAACATTTCATTTTGGTATGTGTCTCTTTTTTAAAAAATTAAACTACAATCATATACTATAATTTTTATAACTTTTAAACTACTTTTATGTATGAAAACATTTTCCCATTCTTTAGTTATTTTTTGAAACATGATTTGTAATGGCTTTAACGTACTGTTGCGTGTCTTATGTGATTATATTATTCTTACCCAAAATTTTGTGGTAAAGTCAACATTTCTCCCAACATTAAAATTTCTGCACCATTTACTGTTGAAGGATCATCTCTCATCAGTTGGTTAAAGAGATCTCCTGTAGCAAGAGAAAAACATAAAATTCTAACATCTACATTTTAAATAAGTTTTCTTTACATAAAAATATAGTTGAGGAGTTATGTGTATAGCTATTGGTATAGCCTAGCATGTGCAAGAGTCTGGATTTGATCCCCAGAACCTCCCAGAGATATAGTTGGGAGAATGTCAGAATATTTTTATAATGTATAATGGCACTTAAATCTTTAATATAACAAGAACCTATCAAAAAATTCTGATCTCACAGAATGAACACATCAGAAACAAAGAAAAATGCAGATAATGAGATATACAATATACTATATAAGGCACCAATGATTCTAAGTAAAAGTCGAACACGGTGGCACATGCCTATAATCCCAGTACTTGGGAAGGTGAGGTACGAATATCACTGTGAGTTTGGGGCCAGCCTGGGTTAGATAGTACATTCAAGGTTGGGCTGAACTACCTACTGAGACCCTGTCTCAAAAACCAAAAAATTCTACGTAAAGAGAATGCTGTAACTACTTATGAAACATTTAAGGATAAAGGCACTATTTCAATAGTTATGAATATGGCGTGTCTTTACTTAAAACAAAAGGCTCTTGTTACCATACCATCAACAGTATCTTGACTTGTGGATTATAATGAGGCCTATTACTCAGATGGCTACCATTCACAGGTAACAAAGAATTCAGCAAAGTGTTAGCATAAGATTGATAAGGCTAAGTTTATTCCAAGAAAATTTCAGCAACTCAGATTTCAACTCTTCTCTTGGTCCAAATACAGTAAGCACATGCTATACATACCTGGTAGGTCTTTCTCTTCACATGTTACTGGAATATTGGTGAATAAAGTAGGCTTAGTCAACCGCATCACTATGAATTGAGAAAATAAACAAAAAACATTAACAATGTTTTGGGCTAATATTTTCAAGTCTAGCGTATTGCATTCAATTTCATATTAGTATAAAATATCTAAATATTGAATACTTCATAATATTATCCCCATGAATAATTTATAAAAATATTAGTATGTGCTGGGTGTCGTGGCACATGCCTATAATCCCAACTACTCCAAGATGGAGAATTCAAGGCCAGCCTGGGCAACTTCATAAAACTATTTCAAAATTTAAAAGAAGGGGGATGGCAGTTGCCTAGCATGCAAGAGTCCTTGGGTTCAATCCCCAGTACCACCAAAAACCAAAAATTATCAGAAAATTTTAAAAAAATTATGCAAAAACTTACACTAAAAGAGAATAAGTTTACTTTTTGTGCAACTCATACATTATAAAAATTAAATACAAGGGCTGGGGATTTAGCTCAGTGGTTCTGGCGCCTGCCTTGCAAGTGCAAGGTGCCGAGTTCAATCCCTGGTACCAAAAAAACCCAAAACAAACAAACAAACAAATTTAATACAAATATAATACATGTCATTATAGAAAAACTGGGAAAGAATTTTAAAGGTGAAGGTATATTAGGAACACAAAGGTTTATTTTCAAATTTTTATTTTTATTAGTACATATTTGCAGCACTTAATGAGCACATTCATCATGGGAAGCTGGTACATGGATGTAACACATCTTAATTCTTTTTTCATTCCCTTTCCCTCCATCTTGCAAAACAAATGTATTTCTCTGTTTCCTACCATCTATCTTTTCTTTAACTAGAGTGACTTCAATGTAAACTATCAACAAACTATTAACCTATATCAGTCTGGCACGGAAACAAGTTCAGATGCACCATTTTAATTATGAAACAAGTTTATGCCAAGATTTTTTGAGCTTTCTCACTCAATCATAATCAATGGTCACTGGAAACTCAAAAGGTTTCCCTTTAATATCAATTCTGCATAGAGAGTATGATAATATCAGCCAATACATAGGCTTACATAATTCCAGCCAAAACTAAGATTAAAAATTTACTTATTTCAAATATCAAAAAGCTATATAAAATAAATATAGTAACATAAGCAACTATTGAACCATGAAAAAATAAGAGAAAAAAAGTGAATTATTTATTAAATCTAGTGAGGGTAGTGTCAGGCTTGACCTGGTTGTGAAATGGTTAATGAATATGCTCTTTAATTTCAATCTACAGTTCCAAGATACAAAAGAACCCAACAAAACAGGCAGCTGATATAGGTGCTGTCTCCAGCTGACAAAAGCCATCTTGGTGCTATCTCAGAGCAGATAGAATGCAGAACACAGGATGGGATGTTCCCAAAATAGAGATAACAGCTACAAACTACAGCATCTTTTCAATGCCACCTCACCTGAAAATATCCATACATCTGCTTTGATCACTGCATGGACCCTGATCACAAATATTTGCTCTGACTCCTATATGTGATACATGTGCCAGATCTCTCTTCCAAAGTCCTATAAACCTTCTTCCTGCCTTTTCTTTGTATCGTGCTGACAGCCTCTTGCTTGCCATCTCTTGCCAATTTTGCCCAGGTGAATAAAGTCGGTACCGCTTTGTGTTCACTAGCCTGCTCCGATGGTCTCATTTCTCCACCGTTTGTTACAGGTAGGCCATTCCAATTTTTTTAATGAATCTTTTTGCCTATTTCTAAAGACTGCCATTTGAACACAACAAAATAAAGACAAAACTTAAAATCAAACTTTTTCAGAAAATAAAGCACAGAAGGCTATATGTTCATACTTCATTAGAAGTATACATTCATTCAAAGCAAAACCAAAGAACTTGTAGAAGATGGTCCTAAATGGTTAATTTACAATATAAATGTTGTTCACTAGCACGTGCAAAAGTGTACCACCTAACTTGTAATTAGGTATAGCATTCATATCAAATTTAGTGTATTTCTCATCCTGATCTCAGCTTAAATATCATCTTTGTTATGGCTTGTATCTAGATGTCCCCTTAGTCTCAAGCAGTTATAGGTGGGGCTTTGCAAAGTTGGCTGGATCTAGAGTGTGTAATGCTAGGATTAAATGTGTGATACTGGGATTACGGGTGTATGATTACTAAATTAACCCACCAATTGGTTTGGCATAGTTCTGGGTATGGATAATAGGAAGGCCTACCCTGGGTTTGGGTGCTACCTGCCCTAAGAACAAATAGTCTGGATAGAATATAAAGAACTGGATAGAATATAAAGAAGGCTGCTGTGGTGGCTTGCTGCTTTGCTACTTCACTGCTTGCCTTCTGCCTGACATGAGCTGTTTCTCTTCTGTGATGCCCCTCTGACATGCTACCTTACCTTACAGCCAGCCAACTATGAACTGAAACCTCTACAGTGAGCCAAAATAAAGCTTTCCTCTTTTAACTTTCCGTGGCAGGTATTTTGTTTCACCAATGAGCAAAGTAACTAAGACAATCCTTTTCTGAAATAACAGATCACACTGTTTCTTCCAAAGAACCTTTTATTTATCATGAACTATATTATTCATAATACTACTTTCCAAACTCCATAATGTCTAGGCATCACATTCAATTTTGCAGCCTCCACTTTTTTTTTTTTAAGATAAGATTTTTGCTATGTAGTTCAGGCTGGCCTTGAACTCCTGGTGATCTTCCTGCCTAAACCTCCTCAGTGCTGGGATTAGAGATGTGCGTCACCATGCCCAGTGCAGCCTCTGTTTGACACAGTAGACTGGCACAGAGCACACTCTATAGCTCTTTGATGAATGAGAAAGCATCAGCATCTATCAAAATCCCCAAGAAACTGGCATTATCTTGAATGCATAAGTTTCATGAACTGAGACCATTAAACAACAAATTATACTAAAACTGTAAACAAATGTTAACCCCAGAATTTCTGAATTCACTTTGTATAGCAAGCATTTACTGAGTATTTATTAGTGCCAGGCATTATTCTAAATACTTTACAAGTACTAACACATTTAATTCTCATTACACTTTATAAGACTGGTGTAATTATTCCCATTATACACAAAGAGCTCAGATAATGCCTGGTAGGGGTCATTTGCAAAAGGACGATTATATAGCAGATAAATGGCAGACCTTGGATCTTGACCCAGCTGAATGACCATTTAAAAATTATTTCCTGAAGTACAGTAATTATTATTATTTTTTGGTACCAAGGATTGAACTTGGGTCCTTCTGTTTGCGAGGCAGGAGGCAGAACCACTGAGCTAAATCCTTGGACAGTAATTATTAATTATAAGCCTGGGGTCATAAATCTAGAATATCACATCTTATCAGAAATATCCCACTGAATTCAAAGTAGGACTTTACCAAAACAGTATTGAACAAATAAAGATCTAGAGGTACAATTTTTAGTGCAGTGTTTCCAACTTTAAATCTTATTTTTAACTAGGAAACCAGTTAAAAATATTAAGTAAAATCTGAAGTTAAACAGGTTCCCTGAAAGTTACAAGAGGCAGTTTCTCTGAATTTAAATATGGAAGATTTTAAGCTCAGTTTTAACACCAATTGTTATCCTCTATTTCTCCTTTTTTTTTTTTTTTAATTTCAGGAGACATCAAATCTTAACAAAGAAATACACTCTCAAGGGAATTCTGAAAAACTTTTAAGTGTCCTTGGGCTGGGGTGGTGCCGCTGTCTTCCTCAAAAGCGCAAGGTCCTGAGTTTGATCCCTGGTACCAAAACAAAACAAAAGTGTCCTTCAGTTTAACCCAAATATATATAGGCTTAACTTTCTATTGTGTAGAAAAATTTCTGCAAAACTTAAGTTTTCCCTTTTTCATAGGGTACAGGATGAAATGGTGGGAGGTTGTTAAGAAGCAACCCTCCATTAAAAATGAACAGATTTTACTGGTGCACGCCTGTAGTCCAAGGACTTGGGAGGACTGCCATGAGTTCAAAGCCAGCCTAGGCTATATACTGAGTTCAAGGCCAGTGAGAATCTGTCTCAAAAAAGAAAAAAAATCTCAAATTGGTATTAAAAGAACCAGGCCGGGGATGTAGTTCAGTGGTGCCGCGCCTGCCTGGCAAGCACAAGGTCCTGAATTTGATCCCTTATACCAGGAAAAACAAAAAACAAAAAAACACGCTAAAGGTATTAAAAGAACCGCTTTTCTTCAGAAGCAGTTGATGGGAAATACCATCACCTTGTGGATTCAAAGAATTACTACAAAACACTTTATCATATTACAGATTCTGCAGCCTAAGAAATGAGCTTGTCAAGAGTCATTCTATATAATTTTTGGAGAAAAATCATTTCATAATTAAATTAGTTAGGGCTGTCTGAGGCCTAATGTGTCTCCTTGCGGTGCGGGCCAACTCTGGCATGTGGAAACACAAATCCGTGTGCCTCCAGTCATTGCTGAGGCCACAATGGTCCCATGATCCTGTGATGCGCCAGGGCAAGATTACATCAGCTGAGACATCATGGTTCTTTGAGAACCAAGTAGTAATTAAAAAAAAAAAAAAGAGAAAGGTTTCACCTGGGGTAGGGACAAATCCTTATTAGCCTGCTATCTTGTCCCATTTATTGTTAAGAATGCTTTGTCCATCTCACCATCCTCATCAACCTAAGATCCTCATCAACATAGGATTCCTGCCACCCTCTGAGTCACCCCATACTCTCTCTGATTATTGTGTGTACCCAATAAATAGTGGCTACCTCAGTGTCTTTGTCTTTGCCCACTCTGGCATTCACCTCCTAGCCCCCCAACCCCCTGCACCTTGTACTTTGAAAATGCACCTCTTTGTCTTTTTTTCTTTAGCCCTCACTGCACCTTTCTCTAGGCAGACTGGAGAACTGGTCCAGTCTCTGACATGAGTTAGTAACCTAAAACTATCTTATTCCTTGAACTTCTAAATCAGTTAGGGTTTCATTATAGTTGTCTAGAGAACAATCAAAAATATGCCAACATCAAATACAGATTTAAAACTCAGTATTTCCTGTCTTACCATGAATTAATGG